CCACTAGGCACCTCCTCTTCTAGCTTTCAGCTTTATGCTTAAAGAGCTTTTATATTTCAATGCAGTGCTTGCCGTTTAAAAAAAAGTTAATTTTTTGTTTGCAGAATAGTTCTTTATCTGCTTATTAATCCTTTTAAATTTCTGTTTTTCCATACCATTTCCTTATTTTATTGTTTTGTTAACTCTTGGAAGTCGCTTTGTGTGTGTTTAACAGAAAAGCAAGGTAATAATAAGAAGCATTTATCCCCAAGTAACTGCACATATAATCACAACCGTTGCTGCTTCCTCTTAAGAACCCTCTTTGATGACAATCTCCAAATAACTATCAGATCCTGTGTTTCATCAGTACGTTCCATTGCTGTCAATGTGGGCTTACTGTGGAAGTATATTTTGAATTGATCACTGCATAAGATTACACACTACAGTTGCAATGCATTTCAGGCATGCAGACTAATCCTTTGAATGCTTACACAAGAGCAAGACCCCATGAGTTCAGTAGGCTTTCTTCTAGGTAAGTAGTCAAGTAGCTTTATATCCCTTTCAGCTCAGCTTAACTTACTCCCAAGTAAACTTGCCTAGGGTTGGGTTGCAAAATGTTCCACTCAAGTCAGACATACTTCTTAGTAAACAGGCTTGATATATAGCCATGTGTTTAAGACAGGCATCCCCAAACTCAGCCCTCCAGATGTTTTGGGACTACAGTTCCCATCATCCCTCACCACTGCTCCTGTTAGCTAGGGATGATGGGAGTGGTAGTCCCAAAACATCTGGAGGGCCTAGTTTGGGGATGCCTGGTTTAAGAGCTCAGGGATAGCATGAAATGTTAAGAGTGGGGTATAGTGAATATATAGTGATTGCCTCAAAATGGAGAGGCATTCAAATTCAGCTGTTGTGGGAAATTAAAGGAGCATCCAGCTGCTGTAATTAAGAGGGGGTTTATGTCCAGGAATATAGCATGCTAGCAGTGAGAGTGGCTGTAAAGCATATACTTGGGGAATCATCAGTTCATGTAATTTAGAGAAATGGGGACTTGAGGAGCATCCAGTTGCTGTAAAAGACCAGACTTAAGACTCTTATGCTAGATATGTTTAAAATCCAGTCCTAACCACTTTTTCATAAGTAAATTGGGCAGAAAGTGGCACTTGGAGGACCCTCTGCATCCTATTGGTTTCAGAGGGACTTGTTTCAAGTATGACCAGGGTTGTAGCCATGCAGCTTATTCCGAAGGAGGAGGAGAAGGATGTTCACCTCATAGGCCTTTGGACCGTATTGATGGAACCTTCTTTGAAATAACTGTTATCATGATTTCTTGATTTAGGTAGTAATACAACACTCAGGGTGGCATTGTGGTCTTAGATAGACTCCAAATGCTAAAAGGGGGAGATTACCAGTATATAGGCTAATCATCCAGTTCTTCTAAGTGGAGTTCAACTGCATTTGTAGGAAGCAGGCAGAAGATCTGGAGAGATACAGGTAGAGCACAAAGGCGGCATGGTCTCAGGTTTCCATAATGAGGAAGTTATAGGATTAAGGCACATCCAGCTATTTTCGGAAGCAGAGAGAGAGGTAGCGGGTATCAAGCCACTACAAGGAAAATGACATGTTCTTAGGAATGTTTATTTAACAGTTGGGCATCATTTGTTTCATTTCTTCCATCGAATTAAAAGTACAATATATTCAGTTCCTAGATGGTCTCTTTTCTAGCCTCAGAGCTTCTTAGCTTCATCAAATTTGGAAGACAGCTGTTTATAGTTTGTTTTGTAATAACTAGCTGGTTAGAGAGAATGTGTGTGCACATAGACAACAATCTCACCACCACCTTTTCTATGCAAGCTTATAGATCTATAGAAGTCTGTTCCTTTTAGACAAAATATGAATTTATATATTTGGTATTCATATACCTCCCCCTCCACAACCCTGGAAAAGAATTCTGCATACACCCATGTTTATATTTTAACTGTGAGAGTAGGAGTTTCTGCATCGAGTTCCAAAATAACTTGAGCAGTCATGGGTAGTATGCATATTGAGGCTTCAGCCAGCAAAATGTATTGGAGCTGACCTGACCTTGCTCACAAGTTCTCTGACTTGTGTAGGAAGTAGAGAATCAGAAGAAGCTGCATGAAGATCTCTGCATCTTCCTCTTAGCTCTGCTCCTCACTAGAAATTTGACACAGTAAGCCAAATCCCGTTTTTTATTATATGATGCACACAAAGTTCAGGGAGCAGGTCCTATATACCAAGAACAGCCAGCATTTTATTTCTGCATAGTACAGTGGTACCTCGGGTTAAGTACTTAATTCGTTCTGGAGGTCCATTCTTAACCTGAAACTGTTCTTAACCTGAAGCACCACTTTAGCTAATGGGGCCTCCTGCTGCTGCCGCGCCGCCGGAGCACAATTTCTGTTCTTATCCTGAAGCAAAGTTCTTAACCAGAGGTACTATTTCTGGGTTAGCGGAGTCTGTAACATGAAGCGTATGTAACCTGAAGCGTATGTAACCCGAGGTACCACTGTACAAAAACTGCAGCAGCCACATCGTGGTCACTGTATGATGGATGTTTTTAGCTGCCTCAGCTCTGGGCTTCCTCCTCATTATAGGGATTTATTTATTTTTCTGCATGTGGCTTTGTGCATACAGTATAGAACACCCCCACTTGTAGTATGAAGTGGTACAACGCAGGAAGAGGTTTAATACATTTGTTCCAGCAAGTCTAGTCTACTTTCGCAGAGCTCTAAGCATTTTGTATCATCACATACATGTTCTGTGTGATGCAGCAGTTCTGATATCCAGTGACATCAAGATGGCTGTAAAGTAGACCAAGCTGCAACAGGGCTGTCTGAGTGGGAATTTCCTGGGGGGGGGGGACTGCTCTGGAAGTAGTTACCACTGTGCAAGAGATGCAGCCGATAGAGAAGAGCTCCACCTAACAGCATCAAGGCAACTTATTGTACCTGCAGTTTGTTCCTTGCATTCAAAGGAACTGGGAGTTCAGGAACTGTGAGACACACTCCAACTTACCTTCAAGGCAGAGTGCAGAAAGAATAAGGATGCATTTTCTTGGCTGCCTTCTCTTAATAACAGAATGACAAGAGTGTTTAAATATTAACTTGCAAAGATTTAAGGATTTGCTTTCATGCTGGAACCAATCCCAACCATGTCTGATCTACCAAAGGAGGATGCTGAAGGATGTGTGCCATTTACAAAGAGGGATTTAAAATCAAGCCTTTTTTTCCCTTTTTGCTTAAGGTGCACCACACTTTACACCATGAAATGTGTTGCCCCCTTTAAAAAGAGAGAGAAAAATAAGTTGTAGCCAGGATGACCAAAAACAACACGCCTAGCATGAGTTGTGGTGGAAAGCAAGGTTAAGGGTACTTTCACAGAGTTACTTTGCATCAAGGTGTTTGAGATATTAAAACTAGTCACTGATGAGTGTGTGTGGTTTAAGTTTTTACTTCTTGGGATTTTCTCCAGAAATGGCAAATCCATGGGGGGGATATATAGACTGGCATTTTGATACCAACATCATGTAGATGCTGCAAGGAGCATAAATTCCACAACAAACACCAACCTGGAAGTACTCTATGATGATGTAAATGCTATAGACCCCTCTCAACTTACCTTTTGTATTTGGAGTGCCTCAGGCCTTTTAGAGTTAACAATAAAGCCTCCAAGTCTGATCAGCTCAATCTTCCCATTATAGAAACTTGTTCATATAGCTATATTTAAACAGTGTAGATACAGTGTACATCTATTTATAGAATCAAGCCCAGAACTGTTATACACCATTTCCTATACCGTGTATAAAAAAACCCAAGAGACTGCTTGCATCAAGTGGAGTTTCACCAGGTGCAATGCATATTATATTTTAGTCAACGTGTAATAAATGCTTGAGGGATGAAATCAATCTAGTCCTGCACTGAGTTTGTAAGTTTATCCAGGTACTTTGGGATATTGATACAAGACGGCTGCCATCACATGGCTATGCTCTGCCCTACGCAAAGCAGCCTTATTCTGTTGTATCTAGCTATTTTGGTCTTGCTCCCGCAACAAAATATATTGCATCGTGAGAGATCACTCAGTTGGCAGCGTGAGTGTGCAAGCCTGTGGGCACTAAGCATCTCATACAGGTGTCTCAGCCTCTGCTGGGGAGGGTGTCATTGACCCAGTTTAGAACACAATAAGCCTGCTCGATCAGACCAAAGTCACATCAAGGCCAGCATTCTGTTCTCAGTGGCCAACCAGATGCCTGCGAGCAGGACCCCAAGTACAACAGCACTCTCCTTGTGATTCTCAGCAACTGGTATTCAGAGGCATACTGATTCCCAACAGTGGAGGTAGAATAGAGCCATTGTGGCATAAGGTAAGGGCTGGCTGCCATATTTCTTCATAATGGTATATCTACTATTCAGGGCTATAACCTGTATTTGGTTGACCAATACAATTTATTAAAGAAATAGGCAATCATTGGGCAGCCCAGCTGGACATTACTCAAACAGCCTTACAAACCTAAGTTCCATTGTAAACAACTGATAGACCGGAAGGCACAGGAGATGAAATGCGTTCAGCATGGCAGAGAAAATGTGCAGCTGCTTTCATGCTTTGAATGAAAGTTCCAGGTTCAAACGCCATTGTGCCCAGTAAAAATATAACAGTCACTACCAGTCAAAGTAGACAAGACAGGACAGATAGAACGCAGGTTGGATTATGTTCTTCGATTGTGAGCTAAAGCTGCAGTTTGCAGATGTCTGCATTCTAAGGCAGTCTTGGTGATCGATAAACTTCCAGCCAAGTTGTATGCTAGAGGTTGTTGAGCACCTTGGTTTTTGTATTAGAAAACACCAGATTCACTAGGCATTAAAGGGCTTCTCCAGCTCCTGCTTTAGACCCTATAATAAGAATCCCATCTGAAGGTTATTACTGTTCAGTTAAAGTTCAGGTTAATTACCACAAACAACACTTACATCTCATAAGCATAGAAACAAGCCTATTATGGAATTAAAGTCAAACAATAAGCTTTAATACTGTTATTAGAAAAATAGGTACTGATGTATATAAAGGTAGTTACAATAAAGTATGTTATATTTTTGTAGTTGGACATACACTACAAAAACAGGCCTAGTCATAGAAGTGCAAAGCAAGTTCTATTGGGACTTTTTAAGCTAAAAGATTAAATGAGTTGTGGAAGTAAACACAGTAAGAGACCAGACAAACTTCTACAGAGCGATGAAAACTAATTAGATGAATTTATTATGCATACTATACAAGGTGGATGTTGGTAAGGAGCAACTGAAATTTTCACCACTTCAGCATCAAAAATGCATTAAGGAATATATCAAACCAAACAGTTCTTTTGTGGCCTCTGCACACACACTCTCCTATGACAATGAATAATGAATGGATGGGATGGGAGTGAGGGGAAGAACGCTTCTGAATCACTTAATTACACCACTAGTTAACTACTGGGAAGAGTTTGGGGGTTACAACATACTGTCTTCATTATAGACGTACTTGAGCACTACTAATCACTGCATAAAGCTGATCGATTGCTAGACTATAGTGCAGATAGATTTCTGAAAAAGGTCATTTTATCAAATAGTAAAACTCATATTATACAGTATGTACACAAGTTTTACAGCTTTATCGTGTTGGAGTAAGCTTAAAGTTGAAAGTTAGTAATCCACTTGCTCTTCTATAAAATGATTGTTGATCTAGCTCCTTGTCTCCTTCACAGCATAGATGATCAAACTATCTTCAGTTGAGGTTTATCCAGAGACACAGGTCCAACATCAGAATGAACTGGTTGGTACTGTAGTATATATTCTTATGGATCACCAGCTTATGTTCTCTTTACAGTCTTTAACATTTTAATTCATTGGTGGACACGGAAAATTTGCACAGTCACAACAATAATATAAAATAGCAAACTGTAACTGGGGGAATGGAATGTTTAGATTTACATGGCTATTTATACCTCCCTATATGTCAAACCAGCTCATCTAACTATGATCTGTGGTGTAGTAGAAACTAGGAAATATTCCAAGTCATTTGCTGTTCAGAACTACTACTTTTAGGCCAGTCACTTTTCAGAAAGCCTAGCTTTTACTTATTTCTACAAAAATAAATTGTGAATGTACATTAGCAACCTTCAATAAAAAGCCACTTAATGTTACCTTGTTCTTCTTGCATTAAACAGAGGGCTGTTCTCCTCAACTTCACTTCACTAATAACAAGGTATTAACTTCGCTATTAAGTCTGTTTCAGTGAATATATTCATGTTACAGGGAGATTAAATCAAAATGAGATAGAACCAATTACTGAATTACTTCCCATAGACAAAAACTGATATACTAGAGACTTTGAAAGTATTTTCCTCATTTAAGACAGAACAGATAATGAAAAAACAGCCCTAATCTCCAGTATATCTAAACCTAACACCCAAATATTTTAAGATACCCAATTTTGATACAGAAACAAGGTTAAGATTTTTTTAAAAAAAATTAAGAGAGAGATGAAGACAATGGGAGTTAGTAGTAATCAGTACCTTTGAAACCAGGTCTCTTGATTAGTATTATAGGTCAGAACTAACATGATTATATTATTAGCTGTATTGTCTCAAATTTGCTTTTTAAAGGGTGGGGGCTTTGCAAAAAAAAAAAAAATAGTAAGCTCTTTTGACAACTTTCCCCCTCCCCCCAAAAAAGAATCCTCTTGGAAGAAGCCAGCAGAGTCTTGTTTCTTTTACAGTGCAGGTATCAGGCAAAAAGAATATAAAATTCCTTTAGCACAGACAAAAATACCACCATAGATGTTAACTAGTTTTAACTGTCATTTCTATCCAATATGCAAGACAAATAGGTCAATTCACTGAACCACTCCTGCTGTAGTATTGATAACATACTCTGACAAATAAAGACTTAGAATGTTTATCATGAATCACTACAATATATGTAAAAAAAAAAATTCAGTAGCACTTCCCAATCCAAATGTATGGATTACCTAACAACTACTGAATTAGATGTTCTTTTATGTGTCAGAGACCTCTAATAGCATCAAAATATACCCATATTTTCACATTCCAAAATATCCTGCATAGATTTTAAAAGATGCAGATGTTGTAGTAGCTTTGGAATACCCTAGTTATCTACAAGTTGCTTAATGTGATGTACTTGCCTTTAAAATAATTTAGCCCCCTTGAAGTACTTTGCCTTAAGGTATACCAGCTAAAGTGTTTTGTATCTATAGTATATATTTAGACTAATCACTGTAGGTTACTGTTGACACAGAGAAAGGATATACTAGCAAAGCCTTTCTATTATAGTTCTTTAAGTGATTTCCAGATTTTAAACGCAGAAGTCTGTTATTTTCAGTAACATAGTTTGACTCAAATGAGGATTATGACTTTCAAAGGTACAGAATTATTTGTGCTTCCAGTTGGCACATTTTTTTAAAATGTAAAGTTAACAGATATTTGCAAAAGTTGTGCAAAACCATCTTATTTACAGAAATGGCACAAAAGTGAATTCAGTCTATGCACATGCACACTTCATTCACTTCAAAAATGTGTTCTACACTACAGGACCAAAAGGAATACCAGCTTCAACAGGCAGTTGTCGATAAGCACGAGTTTTACAAGAATTACACCAAAATGAGCAAATATTGCCCAAGTAAAAAATCTATTGTTAAAGCTGAAGTAGGTTTAAGGCCATTCAAGTTCAAGAGCAGATACACAAATTAAGTCAGAGCCCCTTCTTTTTTTTTTTTTTTAAATACATGCTTTACCTTCTAGCAACTTGCGGTCTAAAACCTCTAGTTTACAAAACCAAACACAAGAAACACAACAGGTGGTTGTATTCAATAGAAACATACTATGCTGTAACTAAGGTGAACTAAAGAAAGCAGAAACATAAAAAAATTGTCAAACCTGCTATGTCACTTGCTGGAACCAGCCCTACACTAGCAAATAGGTAATATGTACATTTTTCAAGTAGATTACTTTACATTGCTCTAACAAAACGTGTCCTTTTTTAAAATCAGTGCATTGTTCTCAATTCTTCCATGGACTACACAACTTAATTCTTAACAGGACTCTCTTACAATAGCAGCACAAGCTACCACTACCTGCAAAGCGGTCAGTCAATGACTTAGTGGAAACAAAAAATGTGAGAAGTAACTATTAAGGAAATATTAAGGGAATGAGAAGATTCATGCAGTTCTGCCATCTAGTCAGCCAGCCAGCTTGCTAGCAACAAGAGAGGGTTTCCGCTGTGGAAGGTCCTGTGGAGTGGGAATGTGGTCACCTGTGACTTCGGTCTTATCAGGAGCTGCAGTAGGGAGTTGCTTATTCTTCATTTTTGCTTTAGCCATATTGTAATCCCCAGAATCAAAGTACTTTTGCTGTAAGGCAAGAAAGAATCGGTGAATTAAGTACAACAGAAACACACACTAAATATACTACTTTCCCCAAGAATCGCCTAACTGTGCGACATTCTGGGCTTACTGTAAGGCCATCTAGTGCAGCATCCTGTTCTCGCAGTGGTCAATAAGATGCCTGTGAGAAACCCTCAAGCAGGTTTTATATAAGATGAGACAAAAAAACGAAACTTATACCTGATCAAATAGTTATGACCCATCAAATGTAGCCTGTTAGTCTAAAACCAGATATGTAAAGGCTAGGGAAGTTTAAGAATCTTGCTTATAGCATGTTATTTATCTTAATGAACAAAACAGGCGTCTTTATATTGCAGCCATGTGAGTAATTAGCACCTATGAACGAACAGAGCAAAGTCTGAATAAAACTATTTCAGCCTTGCAGAATTATAAATAGAAATAATATTCAAAGAAGATTATGGGTTACTTTTATTGCTAGCATTTTCTTGCCATCAACAAGTGGAATTATTATCTATTAGTAAAGGTGTAAAGCATTACAAAACAGGCTTCTCTTAATTGGCACGTCCACACTTTTAAGACAGATTATACTACTGTAGATTCCGGCATATTAGGCGACTGGGCGTATTAGATGGCCCCCCAAATTGGCAGCTGCAATTTGGGGGTTCGTCTTATAAGCCCAGTTGCCTAATACGCTGGGGAGCTCTGAGCCGAGAGAAAGCTGCCCGGCGCGGAGCAGAGCCCACTGCCGCTGCAGGGGGGCGGGCGGGCTCTGCTCTGCGCCGCCCATACCCAGCGTATAAGATGACCCCCGGCTTTTTAACCTCTTTTCTGGGGTTAACAAGTCGTCTTCTATGCCGGAATCTACGGTATTTGTTTAGGAAACCATTTGTTTATATTTCAGACAGTCCTGGTGGTGAAGGTGTTAGTGTTGAGATATGACTACAGCAAGTATGTTTCTAGACTACAGGTCCCTGACGATTGGCCATGCTTACTGAGGCTAATGATAGCTGGAGTCCAGAGGGTCGCAGGCTCCCCATTTGTGAACCAGAGAGATGAAGTTTTGAATTCCTGCTCAGACACTAAGCTCACTGGAATGTTACATTGCATTTCTTGGTTCTATCATGGTTCTACCATGATTTATTATCTTCAGCTCATTTTAAATTAGATATAATCCAATATATTTTAGAAAACATATTTGGTTTATTTTCTGTTAATTTTTTTCAAACTTTGCTCTGTTTAATATTTGCTTTCAACCAAATGTGAATAATTATGTTCTTATTTGTATAAACTGGGTGAAAGGAAGTTGGCACTGTTTAATTGCTTACTCAAATGTTTCTATCTATTCCCAGTCTTCATAAAGTTCTATATGGCATATTTTCTTAATTGCAATGTGTTCAGGTACAAAAAATATAAAGTTGAAGAATTAGCGCACAGAAAAATATATTCACACCTCAGATTAATACCCCCAGTGAAATCCCCATTTGTCATTACCAGACAGTGGCTTAAACACTAGCTGGCGCCAGTGATGGTTATAAAGTTAAAAAACTATTCTGGTGTATACTATATTGTATAGGTAAAAGCCACTTCCATAACACTCTGGATATAGCAGCTATACTCCCCTTCAAAACTTGGTTACTTGATAAAAGCAGGACTCTGCAGGCAACTCTCAATACAATCATGAAATGTTGGAAATAACTTTCAGAACTACTGAGTTACTAGTCGAGGCCTTGGCGGTTATTTCAGTTTCACGTGAAAAGATGCATAAAGAGGTCCCTCTCATCTGAAAGGTTATCCTGCAGCAAGTTAAATACAATCTAATCTTAAGGGGTTGTTATGCTGTGTAGTAAATTTCTTGGTGATGGAAAACAAGAGTACTTGCCAGACCTTTTGAAAAATGCTGTATAATGTTCTAATTTCAGAAAGCCTTTTAAAAAATTCACAGTATTGCTAAGGCATTGTCCACCACAATATTAATGTCACTTTTAGTACTGCTGCCCATTTGTGGTTTATAAATATTTGCTTTAGACATTTGCTTTATGCCTGTTTATTTTTTTGCGGAGGGACAGGACAAAAAGTTCATATATGATTTAAATAAATGATCACTAATATGGAGTATGTGAACACTTGAGCATGTATGCTTTCACTGTTCCAGTTTAACAATCCCCACCTTCACAACCAAGTAGGCCACAAAATACTCTGTGTTCCCTAAAGCCTTATTAAGTCTTTAAAACTAAAGGAGAATCTGTACCAATGGACCAATTTTAGTTTTCAAGTTAATGTAACTCAGTGTTTGAAACTAAGTAGGCACCAGTCACATTTCGCAACTGGCATCTGGCCTTTTGTGAGCAAGTGGAGATGTCTGGTGGCCACATTTGGCGCCTAACATTTCCATCTTGGCTGGCTGGCACTGCTGTGATGCTTGCTGGGCAGCTTGCACTAAAATACATGACTCTTTTGCTGATGCCCTGCCCTGCAAATCAGCTGGCTTGCAACACCAAAACAAGCTCCAATGTAAAGAGGCTGTTTGCTGGATGCCTGATCTGCCGCTGCAGGTTTGTGAGGGTTAATGCTGCCTTGCACACCTCACATGTAGAGGGAGAACACAAGGCACTGCCAGGTACAGCCCAAGGGTAAGTGTCAATGGTGGGGACTGAGGCGAACCAAGGCAGAGATGCCTTGGTCCCAATAATGGTACTGCCCAACCTTGGATGCTGGTTTTTATTTTCTTCTGGATCAACAGTTACATTTGCTTTTTATTAAACTGTGTGTTCTTGAAGAAACAAGTAATTCACGCAACGTATTTTCACAGCTCTTTTAAGCAAAGTGTGAAGAATGCCTACTTTTAAAAACACACAGAGATTGGAGGGAAAATGTCAATTTAGAAAGCACCATGCACCGTTTGTGGGCTCTGATATGAAGTGAAGTATGCTTTCACTGAAGCACAACTGAAATCGATAGGCCTTTACTGCCCAGAAAGTATGATTGAGGTGTTGGTTTCAAAGCAAACTTCTCATCCATATGAGCAAAACTGGCATCATTGCAAGCAGACAGATTACAAGGCTTTACTTGCTTAGACAGACTAACTACACATGGTTCAAGCTTACTCACTCCTTTCTGGAGCCGCTTTCTCAAGAAATCTGAGCCCCCAGGCTTTTGTCCCAGATGAGGATATCTGGCCTTCAACTTTGCTTCTTCAGCTTTCTCAGGACTAATCACCTTGTCTTCCATTTCCTGAAAACACAAGGAATTAGTATTTCTACTACATTACTTATGCCTTCCTTTGAATCATCTTGCAATTTCACAAAATGCCCATCTTTAAATATTCAACTTTTATTGGCTAATCCCCCCACCAGCAATATAGGATGTGATTAGCCCTATCAATTTTCACATCCAATATATACCACACTTAATAACTGTTTTCACTAACTGAGTAATACCAGGGTTACTGCCCATTTTACAAAAATATGTACACTGCTACCTTTTGAGTTGGGTAAAAATGCATGAACACCTAGAGGTTAGACCTGTATATTTTGTGATCCACCCAGCTGAATAACCCTTCAAAAGATGTATACCCCATTTCTCAGTCAAGAATGGTTCTCAAAGCAGCTTACAGACAATTACAACCACACACAAAGGTTCAGTATTTCAATAATACTTTGCCTCTTCCCTCACTCCAGAGAAAGAGTAAAAGGCACTGCAAGTGGACTCAGAACCCGGCTAATAGCCCTTCCACTGACACGCATGTAGCTCTTCTGCAGCCTACGAGAGGTACAATAACCTTGGTCTGCAAACATAGGGGTTGTCAAACAAGCTATAATACAGCTTTGTAGGTCACAAGTTATTTGCACCCAGCCTACATTTATTGTCTGCTATTTGAGGAATCAACATGAGCCACAACCTGGGATTATGTGGCCAGTAACAGAAAAGCATCAGAATATCCATGTGCTGCCCCCTCAGATAACAAACAGATGCTGGACAGTAGTTTTCAATTAAGTTCCAAAGCTTCACTCTGATAATGACCTCCTGTAATATAAATGGTGCTAATATGAACACATGGCATAATAAGGACACAATCCAAACCATGAAGGTGTGCTTAGAATCCACTGATTTATTGGGTTAAAGCAGGCTTCCTTAAACTCGGCCCTCCAGATGTTTTGAGACTAAAAATTCCCATAATTCCTGACCATTGGAGGGCTGAGTTTGAGGAAGCCTGGGTTAAAGTATCTTCAAGTTGCATGTGTGAAGATACTGTTTTTATTAAAAGTCAGTAAACAAAATGCAAAAACAGTTAATTGTTTTAGACTTTTAATACATAACTCTTAAAAAGAACCCAGACCAACAAACAACTTTATATCCCATGGTAAGACTTCTTCACTGCAGGCCAGTTCAGAACAAAAAAAAATACAGGGAGTTACGTCGTCTCCCCCCTCCAATGCACTTTCAGCCCAATCCTACGCATATTTCCTCAGAAAATCACACCAAGTTTAATTCTGTCTACTCCCAGGTATGCCTGAGTAGAAATGGCATATTGACCCTAATTTTTGTTCTTTATAGGCTAAAGCAGTGTTTCCCAACCCTGGCAATCCAACTGTTTTTTGGGGACTACAACTCCCACCATCCCTAGCTAGCAGGACCAGTGGTCAGGGATGATGGAAATTGTAGTCCAAAAACAGCTGGAGTTTGGAACACTGAAGCATAAAATCAGTCCATTACAGCTTCTTTACTGCACTAAAGCAGCATCAAAGCCTGCCTCTTTTGTATATACCAGTAATGGCCAAACTTGGCCCTCCAGCTGTTGTTGGACTACAACTCCCATCATCCCTAGCTAACAGGACCAGTGGTGAGAGATGATGGGAATTGTAGACCCAAAACAGCTGGAGACCCAAGTTTGGCCATCACTGGTATATATGAAACAGAATGCTGGCAATTAACAAAAAACTAAGATTTACACTCAAGGGCATAAAAATAATACCTCGAAGCGAGGCGGGCTAAGGGGGCTCACGAGCCGCGTACGCGGCCTCCACGCTGCACGTTGCGGGGGAGCGAGCGAGCGTGATGAGGGGCCGATGTCGTCACACTCACGCCGCGCTTTCCCCGGCTTGCTGCAAACCAGACAATACGGGCCCAAGGAGGCGCTTGCGCCCTCGGCGGCGGGCACGCCCACCCCGGGCTCCCTCCCTGCAAGTTCGAGGCAGCGAATGGGGCAAGGCGACCCGGAGGCCTCATCAGCCCGCCCTATCTCGCCGGCGTTGGGAAAGCACACTCCCCGCGGACCAAGGGAAAGAATAAATAAATAATAATAGCAGTAGTAATCATAATAACAACAAGACGTGAGGGGAAAGTGGCGCCGCCACCCCACGCGCTGCGGAACAAAACGCCTCGGCGGCGCCCGCAGCTTTCGCCCGCCCAGCGCAAAGTTTTGTGGCTCCTGCTGCGGCCGTTCCTCCACGAAGGAGGGAAACTCGCCTGCGAGGAGCGGAAAGGGAGGCTCTTGAGGCGACAGCAGGGATACCCACACTCGCATCCCCCACGGCAACTAGCAGCACACATACATAGACATACACAGAGAGGCCTTTCCCTAGACTTTGCGCCATATAACGCGCGCGCGCGCCAGGCGGCTGAGGTGGACGAAAGCTTCTCTCAGGAACCGTCCCCCTAAGCCCCCGATAAAAGAATTTGGGTCGAGAGAGGAAGGCAAGCCGGTGTGTGAGGGGAGACTCCCCTGACTAAACTTTCCCCCTCAGCCAAGTCGCGGCCTAAGCTGCCTCCGCCGGCTCCGGACATGGCGCCTGAGAGCTCTCCTTCCCTCTCGCACCGCCTCAGGCCCGGCAGCAACGCCTCACCTTCTGCTCCTCCGCCGAAGCGGGCTCCGGGCTCTCCGCAGACATGGCTTCCACACAACCGCGGCAGCAACCCACCGGAGGAGAAAGGCCTGGAGCCGGCGATCAGCTGCTGCTGCTGCTGCTGCTCCTGCTGGTGGTACCACAACCGCACACAAGATGGCCGCCCGCGGACGACGGCGAGCCGGCAGGCTCAAATTTCTGCTCGCGTTCCGGGTTGCCCCGCTACCCTGCCGCCCCGCTGAAGAGCAAGTGGATGAGGCCGGAGAAGGGCAGGCGCGGGATATGCGGCTCTCTCGCAGGAGGATCACGGCTTGCAGCTTGCGTGCGTCACATTGCGCTCCCCTATGGGATCCCGCTCGTCCGCTGTGGCATTCTGGGAGATGTAGTTTATTGGTGCTAGGGGCTGAGCTTGATGTTCTCGGCAGTTCTCCTCTAATGTGGACGCGGGTGTTGAGAAGAAGGGTGCCGTCCTATCCCCAATTACACGGGAGTAAACTCCGTTCTTGAGAGAAAAGCAATGACAAACCTAAACAGCATCTTAAAAAGCAGAGACATCACCTTGCCAACAAAGGTCCGTATAGTTAAAGCTATGGTTTTCCCAGTAGTGATGTATGGAAATGAGAGCTGGACCATAAAGAAGGCTGATCGCCGAAGAATTGATGCTTTTGAATTATGGTGCTGGAGGAGACTCTTGAGAGTCCCATGGACTGCAAGAAGATCAAACCTATCCATTCTGAAGGAAATCAGCCCCGAGTGCTCACTGGAAGGACAGATCCTGAAGCTGATACTTTGGCCACATGAGAAGAGAAGACTCCCTGGAAAAGACCCTGATGTTGGGAAAGATGGAGGGCACAAGGAGAAGGGGATGACAGAGGACAATATGGTTGGACAGTGTTCTCGAAGCTACCAGCATGAGTTTGACTGAACTGCGGGAGGCAGTGGAAGACAGGAGTGCCTGGCGTGCTCTGGTCCATGGGGTCACGAAGAGTCGGACACGACTAAACGACTAAACAACAACAACAAAACTCCGTTCAGTTCAGCATAATCCTAACTTGTAGAGTTGGAAGGGACCGTGAGTCATCTAGTCCAACCCACTGGGATGCAGGGATATTTTTGCCCAACATGGGGCTCGAACCCAGGACCCTGAGATTAAGAGTCTCATGCGCTACCGACTGAGCCAGCCCAGCTTGGCTCCATCAATTGGCCGGCAAAGGATGAAAAACAGCAGCAGCCTCAAGGAGTTTGCTTCCCCGCTCCCTGCCTAAAAGAACACTTACAATCACTTTGTGGGTGGGGAGTTGGCCTTGCAACACCACTGAACCCTTTGAGAAGACGTTGCGCCATTTCAAGTGGGGCTCTGAGGGCAGAACCTCTGCCATAGTAAAAATAAATCATGCTAGTGCAGGCTGCTGGAATTGCAGCACTTCGTTCCTCCCCTACTATTGCTATTCCTCTACTGGGAAGGCAGAAAAAAACATTGCATGGCTTGTTACTCAGTAAACATACATTCACTTCCACTTGTGGTTTGTTCTAAGAGAAACAAATCATAAGCCCAGGTTCCATGTTATGACAAGCCAGATTATGGCTTGTTTCTTCCCTTGGCAGTAGGGGAGGGATGAAGTGCCTGCAATTGCACATCTGCTTGTCCATATTAAACCATAGTTTAACTGGTTCAATATGGTGTGTGAACCAGGCCAGTCTCAGAAGTAGCCTAGGAGGAGGAAACCAAAAACCCTTCAAAATTAGCGTAACATGAGCATCTAAGGGAGCCCCTTGGTGGTTGTGTTTACAGGGCTGTTGGGAAATTTAATAACTTGTCCAAAGGAGTAACACCCTTTGGTATCAAAGCAGTGCTTCAGTTCTAAATTGAGATGTGTTGATTTTCAGGACTGCTGAAGTCACACCCCTGACCTAGAACCTCAAATTGCCCTAATTTCAGATATGGGTGTGGTAGCTGCAGTTAACAAAGATGAAAGACACTCTTAGGCCAGTTGGTATTATTACAGCTTTCATGTGGAGGCAAATTTAAAGTAATGTGCTTAGTGAGCAGTTGCCACATGGTGAGCTGTTTGTATGCAGTAGCTTATGATGCCAGCTTGGTTATTTCTTTGTACGTATTGCAAAACCCCCAACGGAAGAACCTGTTTATGGTCATAGGCGGCTGCACACAGATTGTTTGCTATGAGTGAAATGCAACAAAGTCTGTCTGCCAATGGAACAGACACTCTTAGCAGAATAGATTCTGCAGCCTTCCACACTCCTCTAATCTGCTCCAGAGGGCTGGGAGACTCTTAGGAGTCAGATTTGGGGACACAGAGGACAAGAAAGGGAAGTTCTGTTACATGAGCAGAAACCAACTTTCACAATGTTGGATACTGCCCTACGGAGCAACAGTTGGTAAAGGTGTAACAACCTTGAGTTTACCTTTGTGTAATTGTTTGTTGAGACCAATGGGGCACTTTCCAATAAATTTAAATGACATTTATACAACACACACAAAAAACCTTTGCTACTAACTGATGGTTAAATCATTGGCATTAAAATGCCTATCAGCAAGCTGTTTTTCAAACAGTTGATTGAACTCAGAAAGGTTTCAAAGCCATCTTGAATCTGTAGAAGGTATTTGGGTTGAATGATTTACTTGAAGAATTCAGTTTTTTTCTGCATATGACATTTCTGGTTTTTGTTCCTGCCACAGTTCTAGCACCACAGGACTCAAGTTCTTTGGAGGTACTGGCTTATAATCTGTTGCAGTTTCCTTAACCAGCTCCACACTCTTGAATACTGTATGTATTTTCTGGAGAATCCTCACAATCCATACAACTCCAACCACAAAATTCATGGTGATTTCTCACTCCCTTTTCAAAAACATCTCCCCCCTCCAAATACTCAGAATCTTAATTTAGTGGAACTGTTGCACACAAGCAATATCCCACAATGCCCTTTATTGTGTTGGAATGTCTGGACATTTATTTGCCAGTATTAGAAACTGCTTTGCTGGAGTTTCTTGTGGGGGAAGATGGAAGGAGATCCTAGTGTCTTGGAGATTGGTGAGTGAATTGTTTCAATTATTTCAAGGTACAATAAAAGGGATGACTTTCTAGAGCAGCTTTGGGGAACCTATGAACTACAGGCCAAGTTAGGCCCAGCAGGGATTCATATTTGACCTGCAATGTTGTTTTCCCAAAACCGCACCCAACAAAGAGGAGTCTCAAAATGCTTGCTGTAAGTGCTGGTCAATGGATTGTTGCTTGCAGCAAACCTTACCTGCCAGGGAATTAAAGTGTGCTCCTGCTTGGTTTCCAGGAAACAATTGTTTGACCAGCACTTACAGCAAGCTTCAGAGAGACTGACTGCACTATGGAGTTCCCACAGTGGCACTTACTGTAAGCCCTGCAGGGAAAGGCTTCCTTTGTCCTCGTGGATATCAATCAAGCTGTTCAATGGTGGCTACAAACCCCACTTCCTTTTCCTCCATGGTTTGCTTCTCACAGTGGCCAAACATATGTCTACTTGCTGGTTTCCCACAGACATCTGACTGGACTAGATGCGCCACAGGCTATTCTTACATTCTTCTGATTTCTGCGGGCAAAGGAAAAGGCTTCACCTGAAGTCAGGTGATGTCAGGTGACTGAAGGGTGGGCAATCCCACCCATCAAAGTTGTCCATGGGTGCTGGGAAAGGTCTGGATATACAGTCCACCGGCCAGGGATTTTTTTTTTCCAGCCGGAACTCACAGGAAGTCAGTTCCAGCACCTCTCAGGTGGGTTCCGGCACCTCTTTTTCTGGAAAAATAGCACTGCCGCTGGCTACCTCCTATCCCCCCACCTCTGTTCCTAGACTCAGCTAGTGGCCTATAGTGGACAAAAACAAAACCCTATTAAGAGCACAAAGACCATCTCCAAATAAAACCAATACAAATGTTGCTGTTTTCACATATATTTAAGATATAAATACTACTTTGTTTTCACAGTACATCTTTTTTAAAAAAAAAAAGTCTGAGAAAGTCAGGTATGGGACAGCAGTGTTATGTAAAATTTTGATACTGATTAGAACAATGTGAAAGGCTTTGATGAGGGGTCTTTTAGGAGGGAAATGGGTGCTATTATAGGTTGGGTCCATGATTTGAATGAGTAGTCCCACAGTTTTGAAGTATGGTTTCATGTGTTATCATGGGGTGGGGGTGAGGAATTAGCAATATGGGGGGGGGAGATACACAACCCATCCTGCCCTACATGCTTGCATAGTATGATAATGCAATGGAAGTTCAAAATCCCATCCTTATTTTAAGCAGCTTACGTATCACTTAAAAACACATCACACAAAGTAAAGACTTCTGTATATATTTCAGATTTCAATAATAATGTCAAAAATACGTAGTATGATTTTACATAGGATTTGTGCTACATTAGAACAGTAAAGACAAACATCACTTAAGTAAAAGAAACATTAAATATTAAATAACCAAAAAATAAAATAAGGTGTAAACACTAAACTAATTTGGGAATCTGCTATTGCAACACGTCCAATGAAGTGGTTTATAACCAGTATAAAAAGATTAGGACTAAGTATGTTCCAGTCTACTTGGAATACACAAAGCTCATTCCAGAAGCATTTTTAAAAACTGGTCCAAGAGCCTAGAAGAGCTTTGACTCTCATTTGACCACCACCTCACTTTCTTCACTTTTAAACAGTTTAGTTTATGCCAATTGTTCATCTTATTAAATAGTAATCTGGTAACTGAGCAAATACTTTTCATTGTTGCATCTTGCTAACACCGGGGAGAAAACTGAGGGTTTGTTGGAGATTCAGTGTAAGATTTGAGTTCGTATGCAGCGCCACTGTCAACTTCCATTGATTTTCGAGAGAACAGGAGTCTTACATCTCTGTAGAGGTAGATCTTTCCAGACTTAGAACTCTGGAACCTAGGAGAACAGATGTCAGTATTAGTCACTGCTGAATGTAAAGCACATGTAAGAAATGTCACAGAAGAACAAAGCTTGGAGAATAAATTTCTTCAATAGTCTAAACTGTTACTTTTTATCTAGTTCAAAAGGAAGTAGGTGTTTTTCCATTTATCCTTATATAACCACTACTTGAGGCTTGTACTCTAAGGATCAGACTGAGACATTTTATTTGAAGTAGGAAGAACAGATGAAACAGTGACTGCAATTTTCAATTATGTTTATGGCACATTATTGAATCAGAACACATTAGTGCATATATTTAGGGTGATGAGCCTATTTGTTTGATATTTTTATAGCCTGTATCTCATTCTTTCAAAGCCAATGAGAAAACAAGATAAATCTTTACTGCAAAACTGAACATATCTCTCTGAATGACACCCTCCTGGAACATGCCAAGAAAAAGTGTTAAAGGATCTAAGCTAAGTCTGGGCATGAGCTTGTTTAAAAATCTTACAGAAGCTGGCTAGTCTCTAGACAGACAGCTATGGTTTGCGTATCAGCAGAATGTTATCCATCTCACAAGAGAAAATTATAGGTTATGTTTTCAGTCACATAGACACAAAGTACAAAAGCAACCTGCCAAAACTTACAGGAGTTTTGATGGACACACAAACATGGACATGAAAAAAATGAAAAAGCGAACTGACCCTTAGGTTTTAAAGGACTGCTTTTGTTTTTTAAAAGTCTGAATGGCAAGTTTCAGCCCTAGGCAAATGTTTCTGCTGACAACCTCTTGCTAAGGGGCTTTCACAATGGAAGCGCTGACACAACTTTAATTAGGGCCTTCTAAACAGATGCTACCACAAAGCAGTTTAGAGTTGTATGACTTCATTTGTTTGGGAGAGAATGTGTATGGTTTCAGCAACTAAAACTTGAGTCACTTGTTTCAAATCTATTGTTAGAGCAAAGAATGAAAAACCAATACATGTGGCCCATTTGACTTTTTATCTGCATAAGCAAAAGTACAGTTAACAGGGTCCCAGTGCCTTTTTCCAAAAGATTTTCCAGCACTAATTTAAAAAAAAACCAAGCTGTTGTTTTGATTCAAAGAATTCTCTGCACTAAGTAACACATAAGAACATTGGGATATATCCAACATAGAACTAAGTCAAAATCACTTAGTAGAGTATTTCTTCCGCTGGTGACATGCTTTGTACCAGCAGGATGTGGTTGCAAAGAGGATGCCTAAGCAGGCTGCTGTTAACTTTGCCCAATCTGTTGCATAGCAAGTTTCCACTAGCACAGCTGCAGTGCTGGACTCCTCTGCTGCGTAATATTCAACCCCCAACCCCCCGGTCCACTAGTGCAACAGCCCTTGCATTAGCAAGAAGAGAACGTTGGATCCAGCCCTTTGCTCAGCAGCCTTACCTCAGATGAATGAGGTAGCGTAGTAGTCGTTCTTCAGTATGTCGAATATTTTCTTTATTAATGCTTCTCTTTGTTTCTCGTCTCACAGGGACAGAAAAGGTTCTTTGCCGTAGGAATGTCTGATGATTGGCTGGCATCTCTCGTAAGTCATATATCACCACAAACATCTTCACCACAGTCTTGTTGGGATTAAATAAGGTCTGAAAAGGACAAACAGGTGCTTCAGAATGGCACTATTCTGTCGAACCAACAAACACTTGAAAATTCATGTGTCTTCAGTAACTGCACTTTCATACACAGCAGTTGCTTCTGGAAAGAGGAGACTAAGAACTAATAAGCCTCTCAATCACCTTCCATATTATCCAAAAGTGACAGACCACCTCTGCAGTTGCTAGGTAACTACTGGCTATCTTCTCAAATATGATCTTTCCAAATACTTTCTGCTCTTCTAGCCTGTGGCCTTTGGACAAAGAAAGGAGCTATCTAACAGCTCATATCCAAGAGGTCCAAGTGATTAGCAGTACAGTGGTACCTCGAGTTACAAACACCTCAGGTTAAAAACGCTTCAGGTTACAAACTCTGCTAACCTGGAAGAGTTACCTCGAGTTGAGAACTTTGCCCCAGGATGAGAACGGAAATTGTGTGCCGGTGGCACAGCAGCAGCAAGAGGCCCCATTAGCGAAAGCATGCCTCTAGAGTTTCAGGTTAAGAACGGACCTCCGGAACGCTTTAAGTTCATAACTAGAGGTACCACTGTACGTTGGAAAGACAATTCTTAATGTAACTCTTATGTCACAAAGTACATACCACTTGTATCGTTCCTGAAGGAGGTACCCGATAACCCCTTTTACCAAGTGACTCTAAAGCAATTACACCCTGTAAGGATCAAACAAGAAATGGAAAATTACAAATAGGCATCTTAATGTAAGCATCAGTATATCAAAGTGTTTAACTTTCAAAATGATCTGCAATAGAAACTTCAAAAAGTTTTTTACATGGGTAACACACCAGTAAAGTTAAAGGTACAGTGGTACCTCGGGTTACATACACTTCAGGTTACAGACACTTCAGGTTACAGACTCCGCTAACCCAGAAATAATACCTCGGGTTAAGAACTTTGCTTCAGGATGAGAACAGAAATCGTGCTCCGGCGGCGCAGTGGCAGCAGGAGGCCCCATTAGCTAAAGTGGTGCTTCAGGTTAAGAACAGTTTCAGGTTAAGAACGGACCTCCGGAACGAATTAAGTACTTAACCCGAGGTACCACTGTATAGGTAAAGGTAAAGATACCCCTGACAGTTAAGTCCAGTCACGAACGACTCTGGAGTTGCAGCACTCATCTTGCTTTACAGGCCGAGGGAGCCAGCGTTTGTCCGCTTCCACAGACAGTCTTTCCGGGTCATGTGGCCAGCATTGACTAACCCGCTTCTGACGAAGCTAGAGCAGTGCACAGAAATGCCGTTTACCTTCCCGCTGGAGCGGTACCTATTTATCTACTTGCACTCTGACGGGCTTTCGAACTGCTTAGGTTGGCAGGAGCTGGGACCGAGCAACGGGAGCTCACCCCGTCGCGGGGATTCAAACCGCCAACCTTCCGATTGAAAAGTCCAAGCAGCGCAGTGGTTTAAACCGCATCCCAAAGTTAAGTTAGGAGTGCACAAAAATGTGGCTTGAAGAGGACAGTTTAGTCTCACCCACTCTGGTACGTAGTTTCCCTTTTAAGCATCATTCAGGACGGACAATTGATTATTTTGACATATTCACATACTCCTAACTCAAGGAGTAAAGAACAGTGTCAATTCCACAGGATAATAATCACAATGCATTTATTTGCAGGAAGGAAGACAGGACAACTACAATAGCTTCCTTTCCTAACTAAGGTGACTGGGCTATAATGGGGCCCACATAGTCTTTTCAATTCAGTCCAAAGCAGTTCATGTAATGTATATTGGATGTTTTGGCTGCCACAAGAGTGGGAACCAAGAGTACTTTTGGGTACTGTATATGTGTTTTCTTTTTGTGAACGTACGTACCTATTTAGTTAGGCTGGCACACAGGCCACAAGTGAATATAACTTATCAAAACAAGATGTTCATTGGTAGCTTATATAAAGGGCTACTTCGCATATGATGCTTTCCCCACAAAAAGAAAAATGTGCAAAACTCCAAAGGAGTTATGTAAAGTTGTAATGAAAAACAGAAGCCACCAAATGGTGGAGGTTGGTATTGCATTCTTACTGTAAGACACCCAAAATAGAAAGGAGCTTCATTTGAAAGTTGGGTGAAGCTGCAACATATCCTTAATGATATGTTAACCAACAAATGGGTGCTTGGGACACCTGTGCCTCCTCTACAGCCACCTTCAACAAGTAAGAAAAGTAAGGGTCTGTTACACTCGGAGCACAAGGGGCACTGAGAGTACAGGGTGAAAGATCTGGTCAGGAAAGGAGACCAAGACCAGGAGTCACTCTCTTCCTTGTGAAGATTTAAAAGCTAATTCAGTGCTATAGTTCTGCTGAAGGAGAGATTTGCTAACCTTTACAATAAAGATTTTACAACTTCTTTTGGCTGAAATTATGAACAAGCGAGTTCATCCTACCTGGATGAGATCAGTACTAGGATGTGATGTTTGTAAGCCAAACCAGCAACTGGTTTGATTGGCTGACGCTGCAAGGCCAAAATGAACTACAGGAGGCTCTTTGCAGCCACAATCTGATTGGAATATGAATTTACAGCCACCAACGGTTGGCTGCAGTCATTAACTACTGACACCTTGCCAGGGTGTTCATGTTAACTGTGCTAAAGTTTTTGCACCTTTGTGGAACAAACACACAGCATGCCACTAGATTCAGGTAGGCAGCTGTGTTGGTCTGATGCAGTTGAAATAAAATAATAATAATAAAATTGTCCAGTAGCACCTTATAGACCAACTAAGTTTGTTCTGGTGTACATGCCCATGTATCTGAAGAAGTGTGCATGCACACAAAAGCTTATACCAGAACAAACTTAGTTGGTCTATAAGGTGCTACTGGACATTTTTTTTTTATTTTATTTCGACAGCATGCCACCTCACAGACTTCATTCTTGAATTAATCATGGGAAAGGCCACTAGCACATCTAGACCCATGGAGGAAGTAGACAGTTTTGCATTTTGTCTACGTTGCCAGTCTCTTGTTAATGCGGATGTTGTTTGTTAACTTGAATAAATACTGTTTAGCCATACCAAGCTGAAGTCCCAGGTTTTCCTGGGTGGAGGCATGAGTCAGAAATGATTACAAAAGGATACTAACACCTAGAGGCTGAACTCATCCCTGTGCGCTGATCAAAGAATTATAATCATTTCCTAAATTTTTAAAAATTATTTATAATTTTTATTTTACAAGCAAAAAGCTCTTAAAAATCAAATTATTACATTTATCATATTTAAACTCTCATTTCCCTCTTTCTGCAGCTTCTTATGTTTACAATATTTTTACTGCATTTCCAAATCAAATTCATGTATTATTTATCACATATAATCAATAGTTGTTTCATATCACTGCATGTTTTTACATTAATCCTGCTAATGTCTTAATCTGTTCACAATATTTTTGTAAATATTCAATAAATGATTTCCACTCTATATTAAAAACTTTTTTCGTCCCGATTTCTTATTCTTCTGGTAAGCTTCGCCATTTCTGCATAATTCAATAGTTTCTGTTGCCATCATCATTCCCTATCAACCAAAATGAGTTACAACAGGTTCTTATTTTCTGTATAAATGCTGAGATACATAGGGAGTGTCAACAGCTGTAATCATGCATTTGCATTTAAACTGCTGAGATTCCACACAACAATGAATGAAAGTGGTTACTAGGCAAGAACTAGGTTGCAGTCTGGTGTTTATTGCAGGAAAACCCAGCTTAGCTGAACGCGTAGTCTGCCATTAAAAGTTCAAAAAGTAAAAGTGTGCACAGGGGACAGCAGGGACTACAAACCTTTGGCAACAAACTGCTACCAAAGCTGTGGTTCCGTGCATGCAACAGTAGTATGCTTTGGATCCAAGGCAACCCAACTATCTTTACAAATGTATCAGGATTTAGTTCAGACATGTAAATGTATTTCCATAGCTAACTGTAACGTTCAAATGTTTACCATATATGGAGAGGGTGCATTGTCATCAGAAACGCTGTAGAATGAAACTTCAACCGGAAGAGTCATGTGCGTTGGACAAAAGACCCCACTTGCTCCCACTTCAGCTGTGAAGCCATCCACAATGCCCAGGGGATCCAAACGATAGTTCAGTACAGACTCCTGGAAGAATGGAAAAAACTCTGTTGAAAAAAGCTACCTATGAAGTGTACAAACAGATGAAAAGGAAGACGCCCGCTATCAGGTCAGATTACTTGCCCATCTAGAACAGTATGGTCTACACCAACAGGCATCAGCTCTGCTGGACTTTTTCACATCACCTGCCATTGGACTCTTTAACTAGGGATGAAGGTTTTCAACCTGGGGTCTTCTGCATGCAAACCAAACACTTCACCACTGAGCTGTACAGTGGTACCTTGGGTTACAGATGCTTCAGGTTACAGACTCCTCTAACCCAGAAATAGTACCTCGGGTTAAGAACTTTGCTTCAGGATGAGAACAGAAATCGTGCGGCAGCCACACAGCAGCAGCAGCGGGAGGCCCCATTAGCTAAAGTGGTACCTCAGGTTAAGAACAGTTTCAGGTTAAGAACGGACCTCCAGAACGAATTAAGTTCTTAACCCGAGGTACCACTGTAGTCCCGACGTGACAAATGTTATCACAAACCTAGTTAACCCCAAGCTGCCATGCAAAGCACACTGACTGGAGTAGAGATTTGAAATGCCTGGTTTAAATTGACTTAAGTCAGTGGGTTTTTTAATTTACACATTGGGCCGGATTCATCTAACCAGCCCTTTCAGTATAAGCCCTGCTCAAGGACTTCCGCCTCTGTAATGGGGTTTCCCCCCTGCACCACCATTGGCTCTGGGGGGTTGGCAGACAATACAGTATTGATTCTGTAAAACCCAGAAGAATTGTTCAAATTGGCTTAAAGATACTAAATTTAAGAGGGTTTGGCAGAATTTTGGCTATAAAAAATGAGTATTATGCCCTGGGTCTTGTTTTTATTTTTAACCATAATGTTATAGCTGAACCTAATAAAAAAATGGCAAGAACTTCTGCTTAAAGTTATTTGGGCAGATAAATGATCTTGAGTTACATCACAAACTCTCTACCAACAGAAAATATGAAGAGAAATGGCTTCCCCCAAAATAAAATACTATAATAATGCTTGTATGCTTAAGTCACCAGAAAATCTGGTTTATTTATATATGCTTTGGCCTAATAAAAAAAAGGGATCTTAAAATTATTAATGCAAAACCTCTCATACAAGTTTTACACATCATGGGGGCAGGATCAAAAGTAAACGTAGTCCAGGTCTATAATCTCAAACCACAGTTTACTACAACAAAGAATGCAAAAAAAAAAAAAAAAACCCCACCCCAAAAACCTTTTAGGAGACATGTCAGAGTGGGAGGCAAACAGACAAAGCAAATTAGGATCAATGATGAAATAAACTTTAGGCAAATTATACTATCAAGTAATCTATGAAATGAGGCAGCAGCAGGCACACCTCAATTCAATACCCCCCTCAAAATGGACCTGGGTCTGGAAAAATGTTTTGAAATTTACACCTTGTATACATTTAAAAGAAAATTCCTATAAAATAATGACTCCAGCTAGGCTAAATAAAATATATTCATCTGTTTGAGATGCAGAGCCCCTACCCTGCCCCTCTTCTGGTGCGGTTTTCGGCATGCATGTCAGCAGGAGCACTCGTGCTTATTGCATGCAACTTTTGAGATGTCTGTACAAATATTTCTGTACTTATCTATACATAACATTATATTTATTAATATTTTTTTAAAATCTGCAAAAAAAGCCAACCACCCCATTTATCTTCAATTAAAAAGTCTGTACAAAGCCATTTGCACCTGGCACCAGAAAATGAAAACAGGCACCAAGTGTGCTGAGAATCACACTGGGCATATCGTAGTGGTGCAGGGGTCAGCAAACATTTTCAGCAGGGGGCCGGTCCACTGTCCCTCAGACCTTGTGGGGGGCCGGACTATATTTTTTGGGGGGAAATGAACGAATTCCTATGCCCCACCAGAGGTGCATTTTAAATAAAAGCACACATTCTACTCATGTAAAAACACCAGACAGGCCCCACCAATAACCCAGAGATGCATTTTTTAAAAAAGGACACATTCTACTCATGTAAAAAGATGTTGATTCCCGGACCGCCCGCAGGCCGGATTTAGAAGGCGATTAGGCCGGTTCTGGCCCTCGGGCCTTAGTTTGCCTACCCATGTAGTAGCGTATCAATACATCAATTGCAAGAAGTAGAGTATTTTAGGAGCATGTACATACCTCAAAGTTTCCAAGGAGGCTAAGACTTGTTACAGGTGGTGCACTGGAACTCAGAAATGGTTTCTCGTGAACATCTGGATCACTCTCTCTCCTTATACACCCTCGTGGGCTATTTTAAAAGTTTTTTAAAAAAATAAACCAAGAGTCACTACTTATATCCTCCACAGTTACCGTATTTTTCCATCTATAAGACGATCTTTTTTCCTGAATATTTTTTGTGATAAATTGAGGGCCGTCTTATACACGGGTTAATATGCTAAGTAAGCAAGGGCTGGTGCTGCGACAGTAGCAGGGAAATGTCGGAGAGGAGGCTGCTTACCCGCTCTTCCTGGCTTAGGAAGAGTATTTGGTGAGTGCCAGTATGCGGTGTATTACGGCACCAGTTCCGTCAGCCAGATCATCGAAAAGCTGCTCAACAGCTTGGCAAACTTACAAAAGAAGCTCAACAACTGTTGAGGGCTCCCAAAATAGGGGTCGTCTTATACATGGGGTCGTGTAATACATAGAAAAATACGGTATATGCACACAGACATTTTGCATTAAAGCTGCCAATTTTGAACTATGTATGCCAGGAGTGACCAACATGTGGCTCTCCAGATATTGCTGGACTACAACTCCCATCATCCCTTGCCACAGGCTATGCTAGCTGGGGGCTGGTGGAAACTGTACTTCAACAATACCTAGAGGACTACAGATCAGCCCCCTCCACTGTCTTATGCTTTGAAGTTAAACTAATGTACATTTCAGAATGTATAAACACCAATTAAAGCTACTCTTTAAAATGGCAGTTTGACACACACTTTTCATAGATTCTGCTTCCACAGATTTGAAAAACTGCTAGTTTGACATTGCACAAGGTAACAGTCTAGCATATATAATCTAGGCATCTTTCTTTGCAATCATTGGGAAGTTCCCAAATGTTTGGATTCATCAGCATTCCACAGAAGGCCTGTGTGCATTCAGCAACACAAGTAAGGCACAAACTTGTCTTAGCCTGCCAGTTAAAACAATGACAAGGTACCCAGGTCGTATTGTTGAATCTGGGAAATGCACCATTTTTGCCAAGAAATTAAATAGGTGTGACTAAGTGACTATACACTAAGTGATCGTGATTAAGTTGTATATAAATTGTTGAAATAAATACATCTGTACCTTTTAGAGGTTTTTTCTAAAAAGAATTTACTGTCTTGCTCATTTAATCAGGGGTATCTTTTTATTTAGTTGGTTTTTAAACCAGCTAGATTTTAAATCAACTAGAAGGTTGCAACGCTAGTTACTGTATGCATAAAATTAATAATAATAATAATAATAATAATAATAATAATAATGATAAATTTTATTAGCTGAGTCCGAGGAGATCTTGCTGAAGATGCACATTTGTGCTTTCTTCATAATACTCTCTCATGCACACCCACAGTTACAGATTACATTGTAAAAACATACAAATATTATAAACCTTTTTGTAAAAGGTTTTTGGAGGACAAACATTTGGAAGACAAACCTTTTGGAGGACAAACATTTCAATTGTAATAATGATGTATCTAAATCAAAGCATCCCGATCGTGTTTTTCTTTCAGGAACCTCAAAGGAAGGAGATTGGGGAGAAAAACAAACTTAGGTTTTGATCACAAGACCTTAACAGAGCTTGAAATCTTGGTATCAAACATTTTAAAATGTTTTAGGGGCATAATGGAAGCAAATGGATATAATGAAAGCAGAGTGTATCCAGCCTCCCACCATTGGCCAGCTGGTACATTTGTCCCAGGCATTAGAACTGAAAAGGAACTCTGTAACAGGAGTTCCCAAATTGTGCCAATGTGGACCACCAGTGGTCTGTGAACTTCATTCAGGTTAATGGTTGTAAAACATTCTGCGTCATGTTTGTGAAAATGCAATTAAAAACAATACTGCCTATACCACAGTGTGTTACAATTGCTGCAGCAGACAGAAAAATAATTTAAGTGGTCCTCCAACACCTTTAGTAATATTCAAGTGGTCCACAGGGGTATGGGTGACGAATCACTACTATATAATCAGTAGTTTGAATAATATTTATTGGTTTGCTTTTTGAGTTAAATGGCAGATAGCCATCTGTGATGCAGATAGGCTTTCTCGATTTAAATTAATTGCCAACAACGCACGTAAGCAGTACGTGCAAATTCAAACACAAATCAGAGTGCAATCTAAATCTAACATTATGTAGTTAAATCTAAAATTATATATAGAGTTAAGCTAACAACAGCACTAAATGTGCAACAGAAAGCTCCAATTTCCTTGACTTTAATCTATTGTAACCATTTTTTAATATTTTGCTTTTGAATTGTTGTAACCCACCCGGGGACCTCATGGTATAGGTATTATTAATAATGCTGAACCAAGAAGTATTATCTGTGTGAAGCTTATCTTTTTGGATGAGATCCTGTTTAAGCAAAAAAGTAGCATGCAAAAAAAGAATAAAAGGAAATATCTCCTACATCCAGTGTCTGGGGTTGCACACACACAATGACCCAATGTTGTGTGCATTTTGTTCAACAAGTTACTATGATACTATCACTGACAGTAATTTGTATGGGAGGAAAACGACCCATTCAAGTTTTCTCCTTTCCCAGCAGGCAATCAATGCTATCTAAGCTGATTGCATTGACAATTCATTTTGTGGGAAGATGCTTTTTTTTGTTTTTGGTAGTGCTATCTCTGGATCAGAACTAGGGTCTATCCAGTGTCTTCTCAGTCGCTGCCCCCAGACTTTGGAACCCTCTCCCTAGGGAAGCTAAGACAGGCTTCCTTCTTGATGTCCTTTCACCAGAAAGTGAAGACCTTCTTGCTCCAACAGGCTTTTGGGAACTGACTGTTTTAAATGATAGGGTGGGTGCCATGCTGTCTTTGTTGTGATTGTCTATATGTTTTTAACAGATTGTAAATATACAATATATAGATATATAATTGTTTTTTAACAATTTCCCCCCTGTGTGTTTAGCTGTTCTTCTTTTATCTGTCAGCTGTCATGAGTCCCTGTCAGGGAGAAAGGTGGGTTATGAGGCAGCAGCAGTCCATGTGAGCTAAAATTATGCAGTCTAAATTCTGATCCTTTTTTGGTCATTTCATAATGCTTTCATTTGCACTCTGAAACTATAGTATAGAAGAGACTACTATAGTAGAGACTACTATAATTGTTATCTCCCACCCACCAACTGAGGCTAGCTTTTTCTAATTTATTGCTTTGTTTCTACGTATAAATATTTTAATAGGTAAATGCCTTAACATGGAGTAAAAATAATTTGCAGGCAAAGTATCTAAAATGCAGCACCTCCTGTGTTTTTAAAATATTATTATGAAACATAACAAAACTATGTAACGGCAACTTACAGGACTTGAAAGTAGAGGCAATCCAGTTCGAGGATGGAAAGCCTTCGTAGAAGTCCCAACCAAATGGTGAAAATTGTTCCTATGCAACACATGTTTGAGTGGTGCTGTGCGCTGTCCGCAGAGGAAAAACAATCAGTTATAAATAGGAAACCTATCAAGTTCAGTTCTCTTGCACATTTTAAATTATATTTGCACAGGTGATTTCTCAGGGACAATGTATCATCCTAAGTATACTGAGCTTCCAAAATTCGTAAGGAAGTGACAAGTGCAACTTACTCCATGCTGGTTCTCCATATGTCAGGGCTACAGACATATGGCAAATGTCATACATCGGGAGCAATGGCAAATCAATGCAGGTAGCATCTACAGTACAACAACAGTAGAAATCCCATTAAGGCAGGCATCCCCAACCTTCGGCCCTCCAGATGTTTTGGACTACAATTCCCATCATCCCTGACCACTGGTCCTGTTAGCTAGGGATCATCGGAGTTGTAGACCTAAACATCTGGAGGGCTGAGGGTTGGGGGTTCCTGCATTAAGGGATTCTCCAACAACAAGTTCCTTGCTTTGGGCTAAAGAAGGGCCTATCTCCATGTTTCTGATTTAGAACTAAAGAACCAGACTGAAAGCCTAAGAAAGCTCCCTTGTGGATGTGCCTTCAGCAGCTCATTTTAAGATTACAGCTCAGTTCAAACAGCTAAATTGTCAAATTACAGTTCACAGAGCAGCTCACTTGCATTCCAATCAAAGTAGATACTGCATGCTGACTTGTTTTTTACTTGCACTACTGCACAAACAGGCATTGTTTATTTGTAGAATCAAGCATGCATTATGGAGCACTGATGCTAGGGTAGCCGTATCAAAATTAAGGGATACAATGGAATCAAGGTGCTTTCACTTGGGAATTAAAACAGCTTCTGTTTTAGAGCAACATAATGTTTTGGAAAAATAGATAATCTTCTAGATAGAATAAGCCACAGCAGGCAATCAGAGTTTTGGTACATAAGTGCATTATTAGCAAAGATTATAAAGAATCTACAGACATTCAACATCACATGCAAGGGTACAGCATGAATGTGCTTTTGACTGAAGTACTGTCAACTATAAGGATTTAAGTTGACCTACAAAACATTGAAAGTGTCACCTTCAGCACTTTATAGTGGGGCCAAGTATGACAGAAATTAAACGTATGAGTAGTTGGATATGTTTTTAAAAAAACAAAAAAACTTGCAAGTCAGCTAACACCCACCAGCATCTCTGCATTCTTCTTTTGTTCAAACAAAGCCACTGAGCCTTCTTCAACCAGCTTCTTCTGAGAACGTTTTTGAACTTCATAGTCTGTTGGGTCTTCATTCTCATCGTGTTCATTTTTCACTTTGTCTTGTTTATTCTTGCATTTGAAACTTTCATGATCTCTATGTAAATAATTTTCAATACTAGTCAGTTGGGAGCTTTGTTCACAAATATTTGGTTGCTTAGAGTCTTTGTTTAAGCGCTTAAGTTCATTTCTGTGCAAACTATCAGGTGCCTGTGTTACAGTCACTTTTATATTTTCAGGTATTTTGGACTGATCCCACGGTGGATTTGAACAGTCTGGGATGTTGTTTTCGCTAGTGATTGTTTTGTCCTTATGTTTATCTGTGCAAACTACTTCATCAGTGCTTCTGAAATCAGAACATTGCTTGGCAATACCTTTCTTTACTACTTGAGATTTATGGGAACAACCAGAAATCACAGATTCTAATTTATCTGCCAGTTCAGATTTATAATCTTCTTTGCTACATGATTGGTTTGTATAGGTTAATGGACTTTTATTTCTATTGACAGGAGACGGCTGAAATGTGTTTTGGACTACTTCATTAGGCTCTGCTAGCAGGAGTTTTCTTCTTGCTTGGGATTTTGGAGATAACTTCATTTCAACATCATATCTAAATGAATTCAAAGGGGTTGCTGGTGTTTTACCTCTTGTTTTTTGGTTGTCTTCCAAGAAAGTCAATTTTGAACTAGAGAAGGAATCCGAAAATATTCCCTTTCCTTTCTTCAGTAGGCCGTCCTCTTCACAGGAAGTGTGAAAAGTCTTTGGATTAACTGAACTAATTTCATGGACATTAAACACTGGATGACTAACATGAGACATGGGTGGATCACAGTGAATCAGGTGTTGGGCAATCCTTGCTATGACCTCCTGCCGCTCTTGAAGTAAGGAGCTTATCAGAGGGTTAGTTTCCTCTACAGTTTGGCGAGAGCACTGGTTCATTGGAACATAGGCATCAGACAATGGTGTTTCTGGTATTATTCGAGGTTTTCCAACATTGCTATTTTCTGATGAAGGAAGTTCTGAATTAGCAGTAGAAGAAGAGAACAATTCTCTTCCTTTCTTCTGCAAGCCCTCCTCTTCATACGCACAACGTGCAACTTTTGAGTTAACCAAACCTGCATCATTTGTGTTGAATGGCCGCCCTATGGTGGGCGACGTTGCTGGATCACAGTGAATCAGATGTTGGGCAATTCTTGCTATAACTTCATGCCGCTCTTGGAGTAAGCAGCCTATCAAAGGAATAGACTCTCCTAATGTCTGGCGGGAAGAGTAGCCATTATGTACGTGGGAGTCAGCTAAACAAATTGATTTTAACACTCTCTCTGACGGTTCCTGCGGTAATCTCTTGCTGTCAACAGAAGCCGTGTAGCACTGAACTTTAGACTCTGATGCCCCAAAGTCAGACACAGGCCCAGTTGGTGGGTAAAGTTTCATATTTTTAACAGCTGTACTAAACTCAGGGCCTTTTCTCACACCAAGCAAACCTTCAGTCCTCATTATTCTGCCACAAGCACGCTGTGAGGTGGGCACAGTGCATTGCTCTGCCTTGATGGAATCACAGTGCTGATGTACATTATGATCCTCTATCCCCTTTTCATAAAATCCAAGGTTGGTGTGAATACTGCAGGTCAGGACTGGATAGTTAGATTGTCTAGGCAAAGACTGGACACTGACTTTCAAGGCCACGTTGTGAGAAACGTTGGGAACAGGGAAAAAATGCTCAGTTGGGGTCTGGGAAAATGTCCACTGAAGATCCACATGTGCTGCACTTACTCTGAAAAATTAGAAAACATATGGGATTTTAAATGCAAACCAATTCTTTTTACACAATCCAATATAGTCGTGGGGAGAGGGTTTCTCAGCTCTCAGCAGACATATATTTTCTTTAAATAAAGAACCTCAATTTTATCCCAAACTAGGTCATACGAAGAAACACAACTGGAAAAATCATTGCTTCTCTCTAATCACCAGATGTCTGCTAAGTGAGAGGTAATGTCTCATTAAGGCCTACCTGTAGAGTATATTACGAGGGACTGCTCCATGTGATACACTCAGCCAAGCACTTAACTGAGAAAAGAACACAAAAGAGCGGACAGCCAACAGGAGGGTCTTCTCTTCAATGAATCGATCACCACTTCTAAAAATACATAAAATATAAACAAACATCTGTTGATTAAAAAACATTATATGGAAAAGAAAGCAAAGCGTTAGTTTGGCTTTGATTAGATTATCCAAAAAGAGTGAAAATACCCTCCCATTCACACTTTTGCTACAATAATTCCCTTCATAAAGGGATTCTTTTGCATCTTGCAAGAACTGCACAAGGAATCAGAATTATTAAAAGCCAATAGTTATGAGTAGCAAAATCAAGCCTGCTTTCCAACTTCTACTGTACCTACTGGTACAAAATATGTAATTAAAAACTAAGGTAAGAAATTAAGCATACAGTCTCATCAAGAATAGAGAGCCTTGTGGATTCACTGAAATCTATTCTAATTACTCACAATCCATTAGCACACAAAGCTGGAATGCACTATTTGCAAAGTCAATGAGTATGTAAAATTACAGAAAAGTAAAAATCAACTTCAATTTAATATTTTCAAAAGAAACAATCTGACAAAATGTTTCAAAAGAAACAATCTGACAAAATGTAACTAATGCCCAAACCAAATAAATGAAAACATACACACTAGCTTGTTGTAGACTTAAGATTCTATTATATTATGTATTTCCCCAACCCTCATATATAAACTTACTGTCGTGGAACTGGCTCCAAAATCCACCTTTCTAGTAACAATGCATCTTGCTTGATTGCAGGGTCATTTAAGTCATTTCCTTCTGTAGTAGACCCTTCATCACTATAACAACAGTCTGGAAGTAGCATAACTTCTATCATGATCGGAATATTGTTCTTCCACAACAACGTAACCTCGGACCTAGTGCGCCTAGCTTGACGACACTTGAAAAAAATATGAGAAAGCAGTATATTAGATTTAAATCTGCTTCTTATGTACAAGACGCACTTCTGTAAGATACAAAGTTTATAATGCGTTTTTGAAAAGGTGACACAGCTTGGCAAAGCTCTTCTTGAGCTATTTCCAATTCATCCAGTTTCCACTTCATCCTTGATTAAAGCATGCAAGTTTCTATGGCCAACAGTACCCAAGAGGGTAACATGGCCAGAATCAAACGCTACAGCTTTCTAAATTCAATGACTTGCTTAAGTTTTTAAAAAGTGATTAAACTAGCTCATATCCAATAAATGATAAGCGCTGAACTCAAAAGCATTAGGAATACAGTCATATTTGCTCAACAACATGGCCATTGTATATCTCCACTGTATATTTGATTTTTGGTACTCCTTCAGTTCCTGATATTCTACAGCCTCTTAACTATTTGAACGTTAGGACATTAGAACAGTTTATTCCCTAATCAAAAGATTCTGCATAGAATGCAACATCTACAAGTCCCACCAGTGGTTAAAACGGATAAACCTTATCAGAACACCAACCAATAGTTGACTATTGTGCTTTAAGAAAACTAGGGATTCTAGCATTTTATTGAATGACAAACACTGATAAGACTTAAGCAAAGTGTCATTTTACTATATAGGTGGTCTTTTTAAGGCATTAAATACAACACACACAGTACTATACACCATTTGCAATTTAATTTATGGGAAGAACTACTTTAAACAGTAGAAGAGTCTATTGATCATTATACCTGGGCCAATTTGTCACTGCATTCATGTTTAGTTGTTACGGGCTGACTTGATTGCGCTGGAGGGCAGTGGAAGCCTTCGGTCCTACCCTTCACAGAATATTCTGGTGTTCTACCTTCAGTAATCAGCAAGGCTAAGTTGACGAGGAATTCCTCTGCTTCATATTCGAAGTATTCGTCCAGAGTGTCTAAGAGAGACCAAAACATCCACTTATATAAGAATACCAATATGCATAATAGTTCAAAACCTATTTTTTGTTACATACACACACTTTACTTTGACAAAATTCAATCATATTTTTAATTTTAAAATTATAGTATGCAAACTTCATCATCAAACTGGAACATAACACTCTTTTTGCACATCACAAAATCAGAAATTGTATTCTAAACGTCCTTCTAAATTTTGCCACTAGTTCCAACAAAGGCCAGGCAACTTTCTGTATTCCAGTGCTGATTGGCTACACAGAAGCAGCCTTTCCGCTGGACTGACAGGGAAGTATACAGGGCCAATGTAAAAAATGAAATTTGTACAGCTGTATGAAATAGTTCCCACAATATCATTTCTGCCATCTAAATTTTCAGTCTTCTCATGCTTGCATATGCACAACAGTGGCTATCAGAATATTCTGAATAATGCTAAGGTGTGCAGATGGGAACTAATGGGAGGGAAAACTAAGGTGGAGAGCAGTAAAATTCACAAATCAGCCCAAACTCATTGACATTAAACTGAGAGATTGAAAGGAGGGGCAAGACAACCAGGTGACAAGTAGGGCAGAAAAGGAGGAAGGGACACAAAGATATAGAAATGCAGATTTTAAAGAATCTCATCACCTGGATAGTTCATTTCTTGGTATATACTAAGAAGTTATTATAAAATCATCTTGGGGGCAGAAGAGAGGGCTGCCCATAGACACCAAAGAGAAACCACAAATACCCTTTAAAAAGATCCCAAAATGGAGAAGAAACCCAAAGCAGGTCAACAAGACCAAACCCAATCAGTTGGTACAAAATGCTGACTAATGAATAAAATTAAAAGGAACATGGGGGGGGTGGAATGGCATTTTTGGGACTCTGAACAGGAGCACTCAGCACAGCAAATAGTCTGCTGCTCAGCCCCCACTCGTTTACAATGATTTTTATTATGAATGTTTTAAAATCTTTTGTTCCTAAAAATGTTTCAAAGAAGTATATACTTCAAGAGGTTTCTCTGAAGAACTTTTACTGAAACCTGGTATTTCTGATCCCTCAAAAAAATTACTATATTTTGCTGGATTAAATTGAAGTGGCAAAAAACCCAACCCCTTCTAGCCAGGAACAGCAAAATTTATTTTAGTAACACATGGCAAGTTTGAAAAACAAGCACAATTTTATAACTTCTCCTGAAAACTGCCTTTGCTTCTTACATTTGAGAGGCATGGAATGTGTGACTATGATACCCTTGGATTTTATGTCATCTTACCATTTCATGAGGGAAAGTTTTGCTTTAGAAACCAATCTCACTTTGCTTGATGAAACCTTTCAATGTTAACTTTTCCCTTGTTCAATTCTGCTTTTTGAGCAGGGTGGATAAAAATAAAAGATTTTTTAAAAAATCAAAAAAATCAGATTTTTTTATTTACAGTAAATTAGATTTTTAAAATTTAAATTAGATTTTTTAAAATAATTAAATCGGATTTTTAAAACAAAATGCTTTGGGAAGAAAAATCTTTGTAAAGAAAGTTTTCTATTTAGGTTACATTATAGTCCAAAGGCTATTCATCAGGAAATAAGGATTTGTTTTAAGTTTTTTATGTGTACTAAGTTGTGTTTTTTTTAAAGTTTAACCACATCAGTTAACAAACATCAATACATATGCTATAATGTTATTGCTTTAGTTAAATAAATTGTTTAAATCGTTATTAAGGAAATGATTATTTTTCTCCTTCCAATAAAGTACAGCAGAAAAGTTGTCCAAATATAAACAATTAACTTATTAAACCTCACAATAATTTCATAATTATCTGTCTTATGTATTTCTAATAGTATAACCAAATCAGTGTTGTTTGATATAACGGTAAAAACTACTCTGAAAATTTATTATTCCAAAAATGAAACCTTTATCTGGTTGTAAATATTAAGATTATACCAGCAAGAATGAATCTTTCTGTAAAAAAAATTGTTGAAATCAAGTCTTACTGACCAGTAATTTAAATCAAGTCTTACTGGCTAGCGATTTAAATCATGATTTAAACTGATTTGATTTAAATCAAATCCACCCTGTTTTTGAGCAAAGTTTTATAAATTTAGAGAACTATCTCTGCACAGTAAAGTGCAGCAAGTTACATTGTTAAAAACCTAGGCTCAATAAATACTACTGTACTAAGTTTTACAGAAGCATTAATTCCACAGACTGGAGATTTGTATTTGTATCAGTTTGTTTACAATCTGTCTTTTTTCTTCATCAAAAGATTCCAGGGCGGTATACAAAAATGTCAGTGTAATCATGTATAATTGAAGCACAACTGAAAAAGCCTGCAAACACCCCATTCTGTCCCACCACTTTTTGTGATATTTTTGTGATGTTTTCAGGTCACTTCCAGGTTCGGTGCAATGCGCGGTCACGCACATATTGAACATGCAGAAATGGGGGGGTTTGCCTGTATGTGCATTATTGTACATATTGTTTTATTGAATAATTACTTTGCAAAATTCGGATAAATTCAAATCTCAAAAGACACCAGTGTTTTGATTTGTGTGTTGGTTTGAGAAGTGAAAATTAGATAGTTTCTCATTAAAATGTAAATAAAATCTAATTTCTTCACCATCCCTAGTTCCATGTTAAGTCTGGGGGGGCAGAAAGCATTAGACTAAATAATGAATATTCACTGGGCAAGAATCAGTACATCAGCTTTAAAAAATTACTTTTGGATAAGTTTTGAAGGGCTTCCACTCCTATATTACAGAAGAATTTTTAAAAAGCAGCTTTGAATAATGGACACCTCTTGTGCCAAGCAAGATTTACAAGGAGCACACAGAATACGCATTGTTACAGCACAAGTCCAGTCTAAACTAGTATAAAGAATTAAAATTCACCAACTCTCAGTAGATAAAGCAGCAGCTGGCAGTGCTCTTCATAAATTACACTTACTTGATTCCAGCAGATGCATAATGTAACAAATTCCCTTGTTTTATGCTTCTATCACAGAACTCCCCATTGTGAAAAACTGCAGGCCTCATTTGCATTCTGCTTCAGTGGTACTGTGTCCAAGCATTTTTAAAGATTACAACGTTTAAAATGTAAGTTTATGTTTCACAATGGTTTAGTTACAGCAAAGAACAAACCCATCTACCACCCACTTTAGCTGAATTACCAAAGGTTAAGCAGAGTAAATAGCAAAAAAAAAAAACACCAACAACCCTATTTCCATTTAACTTATATAAGGAAATGTTTTAAGACTTGCATCTTTAGAAAACATTGAGCAACAAGGAGGAAACCCAAAACAGTAGTTCAGGTTTTAGAAACTCAGGCATTTGAATAGTTACTCAACAACCGAGGTAAGTTTACTGAAACCTATAGCTGAAGGCTGAAACTTTGTTCAAGAGATGTTCTAGAATTTAGTTTCAGGGGAGAGGAATGTAAGAAAGGAGACCAGAGCAGCAAAAGACTTCAAATTTGCTTGTGCCTTTCTAGTGTTCTGTTTCCTTGGAATAGTCAATGAAGACTGAGGTTTCTTTAGGATATATGGTTTTATTTACACACATATACAACCTGAGCATACAATGGAAGAGCTCACAACATTTCAACAGATATTGCCTCCCTATTAGGTTTCCAAGAACCCAGGAGCTACAGCTTTGGGTCCCATGCAGATCAAGACAAGCCTCTGGCTATTGTTCTTCATCCTAGGAAGATGTGACACCCAGCTAGGTTAGGTGGGCTAGCTCTTTAAGATGCTACGAACAGGTACTTAGCTGAGCTGCTAAGGCCATTATCTTAACAAAGGAACTAGTTTGACTGCTTCAGCAGGTTTCCTCTTACAGGTTCTTAACTCACAAATACAGGATCAAAGATTTGGAAAGGATCCATGGGTATCATCAAGACTGACCCTATAACTAGTGAAGTTTTTAAACGGACAGAATCTCTGAATGGTAAGCCAGGAATTCATTGACTGTATGGAAACTCACAACTAGAACATAGGAAGTGGCCTTCCAATTTTTGTTCTACCATTTATGTAGAACAAGTTTGGACTGAAGGAATTTAGAAAGGAGCTGGTGCCTCCCCTAGCAACTGTGAGACAAAATGAGACAAAAATATACGTTTTGCCCATTTTTACAACACCATGTTATTCATTAATGTCAAAAGCAAGCAGCTTCCATAACATCAAGGTACAGAAAATAAAATATGCTGGTACAATTGGACAAATCCATTTCCCTTTGAGTGACTTTGTGGGGGAAAGAGAGAGGGATGAACCAAGTCCACCTGCCCCCCAAAAAACCTTTGAATTGTGTCTTCATGATTATTTGTATTCAGGGTAATATTGGGGTGGCTGGAAGACAATGCCATTTTCAATACTGACTGTGCCTACAAAAGTTTTGGGGTGGTCATACTGCTTTGTTTTCAACTGGTGAAATCCTCCAATTGTCCATACCACTGTTGTTTTTTTCCAGGTGTGTGTGTGTCCCCTGCTTCTGTTACACTACAATGCAAGAGTGGCCCTCCAGATAGCAATAATGCAGGAATATTGAGGAAGTATTGCAGAAATAATCAAGTGGAATGATGTATGAACAGCATAGTATAAAACTACCACTAATGCACTATTATTGCATCAATGACATGTTGCAGAATACACCCGTCAAAAAAATACCGGTCCGTAGGGGCCCTCATGCAACATAAAAAAATTAAAGCTGGTGTTCAAAATAGGATGATACCCAAAACAAGGAATTGCTATATACCTCAACAACACATAACATTCTCAGCTAACACCCCTTTGGTTCCAATTACAACAAATATTAAGTCAAGCTTTGTCCAAGATGACATGCACACTCTAAGATACTAAAATTGACATTTCTATTTAGCAAGATCTAAATCACAAACAGGTCTCAGCAATTCAACAGGACTTGTAAAATAACTATTGATTATTTCAAGAACCCGTGATTTTCTAAGCTTCAATCAAACATGCCAATTATAGTCATAAAAAGAAAATATTTTTTTCCACCTGCCGGTATAAACAACAGCAGGACATTCTAATACAAAGGTAGCATAAGCATTGTCACAATTATGATCAAGGCAGTGGGATCTTACAGAGATTTATAGTACAAAGGCAACTACCATAGTCCAACTAACTAAACAAATTCACATACTTTGCAATATTTACATGTTGGGATTTTGTCAGGCGATTATTCTGGTTCAAAATAATTCAGAATATAAAATAGTTTGCAAATGAGTAAAGCTAGAACTTGCCCAATGCCTCTGTCTTTTGCTAGCAGTTATACAATGGAGTTATTAGAGATTCATGCAGATACCCACCCAATCAGGCACTTGCCAAAAGAGTGTTTTTAAAAACTTTCCATGAAAACAAAGCTCTATGAAAAATATCACAACATTTAAAACAAAGGGCAACAATTTGACAATATACTCCCTCGACAGTACTTGGAAATTGAGGTGGATTTCATAAAGAAGTTCAATGGGCAGAAGAGGGTATTGGATAACATTGCAAGAGATTCAACCTTGGAAGGCACTGGTTGTGAGCTCAGCTTTGGTAAAATACCTATGTTTTGTAATCAGGTCATCAGACACGTTGAGTCCCCGACAGAGTGATCAGCTACAACTAATGAAACTTGAGAAGGTCTATTTTAAATTCTGTAACTTTAGACTATCAGTAAACATACACAAGTTCAAAGTCAGCACAGCTTAAGCTCATATCCCAGGATAGAGTGTTTTCAGTACAGTATGTTTTACGGAACTGTATTACAGATCCAGTTTTTAAGCAGGTGGTAAAATATTCCCACAGAAATTTTATCGATTTGATTCTAAGAACAACTTTTACTTTCTTGATTAGGTGAAAGTTATAGTCTTTCCATGGTTTATATATAGATATATATATGGCTAAAATGTTAACCCATATATGGCAGAAACTTTAAGCATATCTACTTGACTGTCCCAGGAGTCAATGGAGCTGCCGTCAGGTAAACATACTGAGAACAGAATACTAATGTGCATAAACATCAAACTAACAGACAAGGGAGTCCTTTACATAAGTATCATTTAACCAGTGGTCAACGACTCATACATTTGGTGAATGTATACTCAGTGCTTTTTTTCTTTAAAAAAAAATGTTTAGGGGTACTCTCATTTTCCTACTCATATTGAAATACTGCCCCACAATGAGGCCAAACTTAGATTCACAAAATGTTTAGGGGTATGTGTACCCCTGCGTCCTCCCAGGAAAAAGCACTGTTTATACTTATTTATAGCATTTGTTTATTGCAACAATTTAACTCCAAAGAGGACACGGTGTGATTTGCAACCCAAAACCCTAAAATCCAGATTGTAAACACACAGACACACAAGAGTACATGAAACAGTACTTAAAAGGAGATAATTGCATGAAATATAGCATTATCTGGAGCCACAGAATGTGCAGGCTGATCTCCCATGGTATATTCGCACAGCTCTGACCTAGTTTCACCCGTTAACCCAGGGAGTTATCCCAGTTGCAAGCCTCTTCTGAGGGGAGGTTATTGTTGCATGTGTATTTTGTAACAGCCTGTACTGTGTATTCTTAGAACATATTTTTTGAGGGCCAGGATTCACAGCTCAAAATATACAACTTCAGCATTAGTCCCACCCCCACTCCCTTGCAATCAAAACAGTTTAACAGCTGCATGGCTTTTCTAATCAAGTGCTGCATTCTTCCAGCCCTGAATAGGGAAAAGGAAAGGAGACCCAGGAACAATGCTGATATCAGATTTAATAAGGAAGCATTAACATTGGGGGGCCTCTGTTCCTAATAACTACTCAAGAAACTACTCAAAAGGTTTCATATAAAAATTGGATTGAATTAATATTAACGCAGACAATGGCCTAAGTCTTTTTCTTTTAGGTCTTTTGCTGCCAATGACTGCTTTCCTATGACTATCAGGTTGGGCCTAGATGCAAGGCTGTTCTACATCATCACATTCTTACACATAAGACTCTGAACATAGGAACAGATTTGATGACTACAGATTCTGCTGACAGTGGGAACCTCTTGTTTTGCGTGTGCTGCTGCTTCGCTCCCCTCCATACTATGCTTGTTTCTCAAGGCTTAATACTGAGGAAAAAATACAACATACTGGGGTAAAATGGATTCCAGTGCCTTGTTCCCTAGAAGCCTCTAGCTCAGGTATGGGAAACTTTTGGCCATCTAGATGTTGCTGAACTACAAAACTGATCATCCCATGCCATTATTCATGTGTGCTGGATGGAACTGATAGGAGCTGCAGTACAGCAGCTCCTGATTTGCATTAGCTTCTTGGGACAAGGGCTTAAAAGAATAGCAGGCCCAACAACAGTAGCAGTACCACCAAAGAAGCCACAAAGGATGAGGGCATCAATCCCCTGTGTCTCATCAGTCTGATTCCTGGGTGAGAGGCAGAAACAACCAAAAAGGGGAGGAATGCACTTAACCCAGTTCTCAGTAAAAGGTGGAGTGACCTAGGGAGAGGATGGAAGCTATTCATGGACACATACTCAGAATACATAATGGATGATTACGGAACGGGTGCCAGTGTTGGAGGCATTTCTTTTGGGAGGGTCGTTATCCAGGGTTCTGGGTATTCAGGATGTACCTGGGTAGAGGTAGTAGAAGGGTCAGATTCCCTTTCTTCAGGGGGTAAGGTAGAGTAATCAGTCAGATGTAATTGCATACAAGGCCATGGAAGCACTTCTACAAACCTAGCCTATGCATGTCATTGTGATAGAGGACTCAATCCCAGAAGCCCCAGTACAACCTGAGCCTCCCCTGCTCCATCAGACAAAAAGCCTGCTAGAGTGGGCTGAAACCTTTTAACTGAAAAGGCACGTGGTTGTCTCTGAAGAGTTTGCAACTGGGCCAACTGACTCAAATCTGCTGCTCTTATACGGGGCTCAAACTTAAGTTTGTTGCTAAAGCAACATTTGGGTTCTGCTTTCCTATAGCCTTGTTGCAGTGGAGGTCTGTGGTTGTAGGACAGGGAGGCCTACAGGTACAGCAACTGGACATAGGTATGGGAAGGTCTAGATGACTACAAAGTGTCTCTTCTACCAGCCCTATCTGTATCTCACAGGTATCTGGGTTGCAGCATCTATGGCAAGGTGATATTGCTTTCAAATGCCAGGCCAATTCATAGCAAGATCTTGCTCATCTGTGACATTTTTATATAGATGAGGAAGCTGATGTGGATGGATGGGCTGGGTGGAGCTGATCTGATTCAGCTTTGCCCACCCAAGTACTCGGTGCAACATCAACCTTGGCTACAGGGGAGGGTGGAGGAAGTTGTTGTGGTCCATAACATTTCCATATTGCTCACCATAAAACCTCTCCACCCTGTGCCACACCTATCTTAACCTCTGCACATCAAATACTGGTCTTAACCAACATAGCTTAACATAAATTGCAGGTTTCGGATGATGGACTGAGGGAACCAGATCCTACAGATATCAGAATATTCAAATACAATGAGAGAAGTCAAGCAACGTTACAATTGACTGCACTGCTAGTTGGCAGATACTGGACGTACCGTATTTTTCGCTCTATAAGACGCACCAGACCACAAGACGCACCTAGTTTTTGGAGGAGGAAAACAAGAAAAAAAATATTCTGAATCTCAGAAGCCAGAACAGCAAGAGGGATTGCTGCGCAGTGAAAGCAGCAATTCCTCTTGCTGTTCTGGCTTCTGGGATAGCTGCGCAGCCTGCATTCATTCCATAAGACGCACACACATTTCCCCTTACTTTTTAGGAGGGAAAAAGTGAGTCTTATAGAGCAAAAAATACGGTATATATATTGATCTCTCCCATTTGATGAGATTCTGGCCAATTAGCTGGCTTGACATAATCAGCCCCACTGCCAGCCCTGTATTTCCAACTAGATGTCTGCTTCACATGGTGATAGGGATGAAAAGAAAACTTCTGTGGTAATCTATCCCAAAACCTCTCTTGCAGCCAAAATGGATAGTGGGGTACCATCCTCCTGGATGCGTATAGAGCTGAGAGTATCCCATCCCAAAAGGGGAGGGCCACACAGGGACACATTAGGGCTGCTAGTGGCAAAAGATTAGTTGGTACCCATTTTTGACACCTTTGAGTGTCCACCAACACACTGGCCCTGTGGTAAGCTCCAGTTCCAAGAATGCAAAACCCTTCTTCAATTGGTTAACTGCATTCCCGCCCCCCCCCCCCCCGGAGGATAATCATGGAGGGGAAAGAGCCCCAAAGAAATTTATGAAATAAAGCACTGAGATGCTTCTGATATTACTGTGAAATGTATATAAAGGACTGCCTCTCTGAACAGAAATAAGGCTAGGCAAAACATTTATTTTGACTACATTGACCTTGTCCCAGAGACAGTTGTGTCCACCTGTCAAGGTCTAACCTTGCTTACACAACTATTCTTTCCACTTTTACCTTTCAATTTCCCAGTATGTTAAGGCTGTAGGATGCAAATAAAATTACCAGGAATCACAGAGGCTTGGGGGTAGGATTTTGTTTAAGGTCTTGAGTTCTGATTTAGACCAGTTAATGCTATAACTCAAGAGCAATCCACATTATCCATGTGGTTTGGGCAGGTATCATGCTTTCCGAAAGTAGCATGTCATCTACATATAAGAAAATCTTGTGCTCCTCTCATCCAACGTACATCCCCTTGATGCAATGGTTCATACAGATTGCACAAACCAGTGACTCTAAGCAGAGATTTAAAAATAAGACATGGAAGAAGGCAGCTTTGCCCAGTCTACATCTCTAAAGCAAAGGAAGAGAGGACTCTTTTAATCATCACTCGCAATGTGGGTACCAAACAGTAAAGTTCCACCCAAATTAACATTTCCCAACATACTAACCCAAAGGCCTTCTATGCACTAGTGTCTGCAAAGGGCCAGTGTACTCTAGTGAGTGCTTTCTCTGCATCTGGCAAGATGAGTGCTGAAGGGGAATCCATACATTTATTCAGAGTTACAAATATCATATTATCAACCCCCAGGTTGAGTTTTAGAACTCTCACCTGATTTGGGTGGTTTAGGGTTGCTATCGCCTCCTATAACTTATCCTCCAGATTGCTGTAAAATTTTTATCAGCATTAATCAGCGACATTGGCAGACAACTTAAACATAAAGTACAATATTTGCCTGGTTTAAGAAAGAGATGTGTGCCTTATATAGGGAGAGGGGTAAGACTTCTGTTCTACAGCTCCACAGTAGGCTGAAAGTAATATTGGTGCTACTGCTATATGCCTTTTCTACCATTCAACTGGAAACTTCTCCAGACTTGGCTCTTTATCATTTTTCATTTGCTTAATGAAGGGACCTGCAAGAAATACCAACTGGTCTGCATTCAACTGTGGCAGCCCCAGCCACACAAGAAAAGTCAGTTTGCTGACACTATAATTCAAAATAAATTAAATTGAGCACTAATTTCCTTTGGTGAAAAATGTGCCTTATTATATTTATCTTTGATTAGAAGAATGTGGCTTTTGGGGGGCAGGTGGTATGCCAATAGCTGGCTGAGATGGCATGTTCTTGCAAGAGATTAGAAATATATTCAATGAGTAAGGTTTTCACTCTCTCACCCACACTTGGCAAGTCATTTCTTTCTGTTTTTAGGGGATAGTGTAGCTACACAAAGACTTTGCTGGCGTTCCATTCTACTGCATAGGATATTGTGGTGCCTTTCTACAACCCCTCCTTGGAATTTAAGTGCTAGTGGCAGTTCTGCTGCAAAAGCTTCTTGAAGGAAACCAGATTACCTGTGTATTGACACATTTTAGTCTGGGTTTTGGTTGAAGTACGTGCTATAAGGAAGTTTCCTATATTGTTGCTGCTTGCCTTTTGATATCTCCCCTCACACCATTGGAAACCTAGCTGCTTATCTGGAGTTCCTCAATCGGATCAGTTACAGCAGACAAGTACAATGAAATACAGCTTCCCCACCACTACTGATACTCACTTCCAATGTGGAAGAGTGCTAGGTATGCTCTAAGTCACACACTACCCTGGGCCCGGTGTGAACAGAATGGGTCCCCTAGAATATGCCTCTTGGCATACATTCAGCAGTTCTCTGTTGAAAGCCTACTCTAAGATTAAGATACAGGAAGTTTGCATATCATTTTCATGAATATATGGAAGCCCAAACCACAGCTGGTAGCTTTTAATTGACTCTTTAATCTGGAATTAACTTCTAATGTAAAAACTGCGACAGCTGCATTAGAAAAGATTTTAAACGTACTTGAAAACACACGACTATGTTTAGAAGCCTTTCTATTTGCCACCTTGAATCTGAGCGCTTCTATTTTCAGACTTAACTAAAAAAAGGCATACTTCAAAAAACCAAAACAGAACCTAACCAAAGAATGTTTTCTTTAAAAAAATTGATTAAGATTAGATTCTGAAGAGCCCACTCCTGTGGAGCATTGGAGTCTATGTTTGAATAATGGAGAATTACAGCACAACCCACATTTTATGTCTAATCATGACTTGTGGAATATATTAATTCCACTGTCCTGAGGTTGATCTGGAAAAGGCACTGAATCATAATTTTCAGAAATCAAAACAGGCACATCCATGTTTATCAAACTAGGCTACTGATATCTTTTCCAGTTCCCCACAAATTACAGGTTATTAGGCAAAGATTCCAGAATCACAATGTGTTAAATTTGCACCCAATAATGTTGTACAAGAAATAATAATGGAATTATATTAGTTGAGTTGAAAGGGAGAAAGCTAATAATTGACAACGTTCTTGCTCCTGCTCCCTTTCCCAGCCACTATTTTGCATTTCTATTTACTATTATTTATTTCGCTCAATAATTGCTTCCTATAAAACAGCCCAAAGTGATTTAACAAGAAAAACATTTCATCTAATACAGGTACTAACTGGAAAAAAGCCTCTAAATTCCTGTTGAAAAATGGTTTTCAATGAGTGCTGAAAAAACAGGACCGGTCCACCCATGAAAAGGGTGAAGCAGCTGCCTCCAGCAGTGGAAGTCCTAGAGGTGGCGCCCCTCTTGCCCTAGTGGGGTACTTCCCATTCCTCCTCAAATGGTAAAATGGGATGTGTGGCCCTTGTGAAAGGTTAAGAGTGACAGCACCTGCCCGATAGGCAATGGCAAGAAGTTATAAAGCAGAGTGGTTCAACACACAGCCCACGGGCAACATGCAGCTCCCAATGCCTTTTTTGGTAGCCCTTGGCAACATTTGACTCGCACCCCTAACACCTGTGCTGCCTGGCTTTGGGAAGATTTGAGGGATCTGACAGGGTCCTTGAATCTTCCTGCCTCCTTCCTAAAGTCTAGTTGGCACTTTCTCAGCTTAGGGAAGGAGGACGGAGGGCTCTAGGACCCTGCCAGAGCCTCATGCCTCCTTCTCAAAGCCGTCACTTAGCCATCTTTGGGAAGGCAGTATGGGGACTGAGAAGGGAATCAAGTTTTGGCCTTGCTTCCCCCCTTCCCCATGCGATAAGGCAGTGTGTGGTCCACAGGTTCCCAGTCAAAGTACTCATGGCCCACTTGGTATGAAAAGTTGGATCGCCCTGTTCTAAAGGACAGGTGTTACCACACTAAAAGCCCACTTCCTACATCATACAGAACACATCTCCTGATGAGGGGATATTTGCAGAAGGCCCTCTCTGGCAGAGCACAGTGACTGGGCACAGAAGGGGCAAGACTGCAAGGGGCAGATTTCCTGGTCCCAAGCTGTAGAGGACTTTGTATACAAATACCAGAACCTTGAACTGTTGGCTAAATGGCAGCCATCTGAGGCAGCATCTTGCATCTCAAAGCTGCTATTTAGTGGTAGCTGAGCCTTGGACAGTGGTACCTCGGTTTGCAAACTTAATCCGTTTCGTAAGTCCATTCTTAAACCAAAGCCGTTCTTAAACCGAGGCGCGCTTTCCCCAATGAGGCCTCCTGCCGTCGGTACCCTTCCATCTTTCGGCTTCCGTTCGTAGATCAAGGTAAAGTTTGCTAACCAGAACACTACTTCCGGTTTTGCGGAGTTCATATACTGATTAGTTCATAAACAGGGCTGTTCTTAAACCGAGGTACCACTGTACTTGAGATTGTATGGCTAGCATCATTCAGTAGACGTACTGTCATGAAGCTCAATTTAAACAAAGAAACTTTTGATTATAGCTCCTAAGTTCTTGCTAAATGACAATTCACTGTTTTAGGTAACTTTCTAGCTAACGTGCACAATTTTAAAGCTTCCACAACTTATTGAATTAAAATTGGAGTTGCTTAGGGCACATACACGGGGTGGGGAGTTGTTTGCCCAACTCAAATTGCTGCACAATGATTGGTATACAACTATTTTCAGTCCGGTCTTTTTCAAGTACAACTCCAATGACAAGAACGTTGGAATCAGCATTACAAGCAACTTTTGATTGATTTTAATTTTAATACGTTCTCCAGGGACCATGACGATATCTAGTTGCAGGAGGATTTACAGAGTGACTTGTCAAGGTAATATGATGGCTTGGATTGGTGGCACAATTTTATGGTGCCTTCTGTATCGTTCCTGGAGGATGGATCTCAGAATGTAGTACCAATGGCCTTTTAGGTTCTAGAAGGATTGTCTTGTTCCATTTGTTATTCTCTCAGCCTTTCATTTAATTATTTAGGTCATCTGGAGTACAGTGTTGTCAGCATGCTCATCACTCCTCCACCCACACTCTTTCTACCTAGTTCCAGGGAAACTGTGGCAGTTCTGAATCCATCTGAGGTCAACTGAGGACTTGATGTGGCCTAACAAATTAACCTTAATCCAAATAAGATGGAAGTACAGATGGTAGGAGGGAGGGCAGATCTGGATAGAGGTACTAAAACAGTTCTAGAGGGGGCGGAACTCCTCCTGAAGGATCAAGGATGCTGAAGGATCAAGAACACCAGGTCTTGACCTTAGTCCCAGACAGACAGGGAGTGTCTGTGTCCAGAAGCACCTTTGCTCAGTTTAAGCTGATGCATCAAGCACAGCCTTTCCATGGGGGTGGGAACCATGATCTTGCCACATTCCCTGATCACATCTAGATTACTAAAATGTGATCTACATTATGCTGCCCTTGAAAAAGAAATGTCCAGAAGCATCAAAATGTGATAGTGATGTTATTGACAGGAGCCTAGCCTTTTGACTGTATCACATCAGTTGCATTATCTCCCTCCTCAAATAAGAGATTTCTCAAATATACATCTTTGTTTAGTCTTTTATAGCAACTACCGAGGTAATACTGATCCATAGGATTCTAAATCTTTTCATACCTTGTGGAAAACTGTAGCGACTCCCACAGTTTACAAACCATAAACTCTTTGAGACAGCATGAAACCTTACTGTTTTTATTTAAAGTTTTCTGGGCACAACCTCTATAACTCAACTCATTCTGCCCAAGCTGCAAAGATACAACTGAAATCTTGCCGCTTAAGAACATACTATCCTTACCTGGGGCAGTGTTTTGAGAATTGCTTTTAGCATACCTGCAAACCAAGAAGAGTATACAGAAATACATGTAGACATATTGTGATATAGAACTTTGGGGGTTTTTTGCCCAAAGAAGTCAGTCACACTTATTGGTGATTCCATTGCCAAGTCTGTTAATGTTGCCCATGCTTCAGACAGAAAGTCCACTTTAAAATATTATTCTGAGTGCCACCTGTACTTTATCACCTCAAGTTTAACCATTGCTTTAGCAACAGCAAAAGTTAAAACACTGCAAAACTGCTCCAGTGAGATAGGGAAATGTCACAAGCCCTAGCCAATCAGCACTGAGCACAGCCTGCTGCTGAAAACTGAGAGAAACAGTTTCCCCTGAACTTGTTCTGGCAAAGAATTAGGTACACGTCACATGTAGCAAATTCACTGTCAAGAGTTCAGCAACTCCTCTTATGTGTACATCTGCACACAGCATTTGCTTGAAAATACTTAACTGGAAGAATACAAAACCCACACTTCACCATAGTAGTTTTCTTTACAAAGAGGTTATTATGAATAAATATCTGGCCTCTATTCACTTTTAACAATCATTAGTGTGCTATTCAAGAGACTTGTGCTCGCTACACATTTTTGCCACATTTTCTTCCTACAAGACTCTTGGCATTACAATGATCAGAGAAAAAGAGCCTCATGGGATTTTAAGATTTCATCTTGCAAATCCTTTTGTAGAGGAGTCAGAGAGTCAAAGTTAAATCAAGCAATTGCTACCAAGTTTTCAGGGAATTGCTTTTCGAATTAGTTACCTTTGGATTGAACAGTACTATAGGACGTGTATTAAGCATTACAGGTGACTATTTCTGGAACAGGTATGATCTACCTCAACCTATATCTAAAGACATGAAAAATGTTCTTATCAATATGATCTAATAGTTCGTAATAAAACTAAATATATACATTGTATAGGAAAGATGCTTGTCATATATAGAAAAGATAATACTATCACCAAATGGACTAAACCAGAAATGGGAGGAACCTGTGGTTTTCCAGGTGTTGCCAGCACTTGGAGGGGTCAGTCGCCTAGGAACAAGTACACTGCCTTGGGCTCCATGGCAGAAGGCAGGTTATAGATGTAATAAAGTAAAAACACAATTCGCAAATGATGTAGAGTCTAGAAAGCAGCATAGTTAGCAGAAAAAGAATGTAACTAAAGCAAATGCAAAGGTTTCTGAGGAAAGGAACCATTAAAATAAAATAACTGGAAAAAGAGGGAGGGTAACTGGCTAACCATAACAGATGATGTGACACTGGAAACAGGTCAGTGACTTGAGGCTAATGCCATTTTAGATTATATACACAAGAGAATAATTTCCAAGACTTGAGAAGTAGTAGGAAGCAAAAGATTAAAGCTTCGGTAAAAAGTCTCCCATTTTGACCACGACCAAAGGGCAGGTATGTGAAAAAGTGAAGAAGAAAAATAGTTCAATTGGAGTGACGGTGGGAAGCATTACCCACATTCTGAACTGGATTCATGTCATCACAAAGGTGTTGTAGTATCAAACTCATTGCATGAATAGTGACAGAATGAGACCATTCAGGAATGGATGGAAACTGGTAGCAGAGAGGAAGAACTGTTGAAAACAGAAAAAGATGCAAAAAAAATTTCTCTTCCCCTAGAAGCCCCCCTTTTGCCCTACAAATGATGCAGACAAACATTTTGCTCAGGTCTAGTACCATGTTCACTATTGGTTTGTTACCCTCAAATATGCATTTCTCATGTGATGCAGAAACCCTTGGTCTTCCCTCAAGGTAATAAAGCAGATCACATCTCTACAAACCTACCATCAATACCAGAGTTTTCCAAGGAATCTTTAGTTTATCCTATTGGTCACTAAGGGCATGTAAATTATTTAAAAACTACAGAGGATGTTAAAGACATTCCTAATCATCATGATAATTTACCACTAGAACTATCATATTGCAGCTTATGTAAAAAGAAAAAGATGCATTGGAAAATGGTAGCATTTCCTCCCTTGGAGATTTTCCAGAAAAGTTTGGGCAAACATCCACCATGAATGGTTTAGATACAGATGTTCTGCCTTAGAGCAAAGAATGGTCTTCATCAGAGACAGAAAGCATGCGTTCTTTCAAATGTTGCTGGTCTCCTAACTCCCATCATCCCTGACCACTGGCCATGCTGAGTGGGGTTGATGGGACTTAGAAAGCCACAAGTTCCTTGTACCTGGTCTACATATACCTTCCAACTCTGTGAGAATTATATAAAACCTAAATTGTATAATCTATGTGTAAAATGTGAAAAGATACAGATATTTTAGCTTGAATTCATATATTTTATTGTATTTCTATCCTGCATGATTCAATCAATTTCTGAAACTAGCAAGCCCATTTCTTTCAGTTACAATGCATAAGCTTGCATAAAGGCAAGTATAAATTGATTTGCAATGACATTTAGGAGAAATCCCCTGTGAAAGTTTGTGAGAAACAGAGCATATATACATACAGATCACTAAACAAGGGTTTGTTGCCATTCAGTCTGGCTATTTTAAGGGATACTGTATCATATAATTTATAAAAAGGGACGCGGGTGGCGCTGTGGATTAAACCACAGAGCCTAGGGCTTGCCTATCAGAAGGTCGGTGGTTCGAATCCCCACGACAGGGTGAGCTCCCGTTGCTCGGTCCCTGCTCCTGCCAACCTAGCAGTTCAAAAGCGCATCAAAGTACAAGTTGATAAATAGGTACCGCTCCGGCGGGAAGGTAAACGGTGTTTCTGTGCACTGCTCTGGTTCGCCAGAAGCAGCTTAGTCATGGTGGCCACATGACCCGGAAGCTGTGCACCAGCTCTCTTGGCCAATAAAGCGAGATGAGTGACGCAACCCCAGAGTTGGTCACGACTGGACCTAATGGTATGGGGTCCCTTTACCTTATATCATAGAATTTACCTTTAAATTGCCTTCCTCAAAAATGTATTTATTCTATTTCTAAATAATTTCCCATGAAACATGTACAATGTACTTACATATTTTATTATATTTATATCCTGCATTTTTGCCATTATGGAATGCAAGGCAATATGTAAGGATTTCCCATCTCAGCACTGACCAGACCTAGACCTAACTTGCTTCTACAAAGGAGTCCATCATGTGCCCTTAGACCACAAGTGTGCATATACTGAGCAATGTTCCATAAGGTGGCCATAAAACTGCTATTGTGTTTCTTTCTAATATCTTTAATTGGCTGGCCTGATTCATGGAGAATTTCTTGTAGCTTTTTCTTCTTCATATGAGTCATTCTGAGACTTTATAACTAATTTGAGAAGTGGTAAAAGCTCCCAGAAGTTCCACAACAGAAAGACACACACACATACATTATTTTTATTTGTTTGTTTATATAAAGGAAGTTGTTATAGATACAGATAACTTCAAACAAGACAGCATAACATTATAGAGAAGTCCACTATAAAAAGTGCTAAATCAGGGCTGGCCCAACTATTAGATAACTGCCTCAGGCGGCATACTGGGGGAAAAGAACAAGGAGCTGGAATAGCAAGTGTCGAAGGACAGAGATGTATATGCAATGTGGCCTACCCTGTATCACCATCCTATTGCCACTTTGACCTAAGATTCAACTATCAGTCCCATTAACTTTTGTACATGAAAAAAAGTCCGCCATCATGTTTCTGACCTCAAGGCAAAATCTCTTGGACCAACATTGGGTGCTTATGGGAACATTATGGCCTGGCCCAGTTATTTGAGCACACTCCAATATGCATATAGAACTCCTGTGTGAGTGGACTTTGCTTTCTTCTAAGGAAGTCAAATGGCAACTCTGTTCATGCAAAGGAATGGGCATGCAGAGTTGCCCCACTCACTAAATGGAACAGGAAAACTGTTGCAGGGCAGAACTCTTCATTGTGCACACTGAAGCTTCCAAAATGAACTTCAAACCTGAGCACATGTCCGCAGTGACCAGGGCTACACCCTCTCAAATTTACCATAGTCTTCTATGGAGAGAGAAACTAATCAGGTGTATGATGCACATGTAGAACCTCCCAACACCTCCCTCCCCCCCCCCCCAAAAAACCTTGAGAAATCCATGCTCCTGTGCCCCCTTTCTATTGCAGGATGATAACTTGGTTTTGGAACTTATTTATCTATAAATACGCTGGATAGCTTTAAAGAATAGCTACTCTGAAAGAACCTTCAGTCCCCTTTGCTATCCCTAGCTGCAACATTCTTTCGTAGCAAAGCATAAGATTTTCCTAGACATAAAAAAAAAATAAATAGAGCCCAGTGAGAACATTCTTCTTCCTTCAGAGGGCATGTTAGATACCACCATGATCACATAAATCAAATGGTTTTCCCTTTCTAGGCTATCAAGAGATGCTCCAAATACAACTAACATCTGTGTTACCAGGTCACAATTAGACTCTTGTGTTTCTCAAAAACCTCATCTGACTCACAACACCATTGGTGAAAAATGGTGTGGGGGGCTTTCAGTGTTTTGTTAATCTGCTTTGCAGAGCAGTAGCTTAAAAAAGGTACATACCACCTTGTTTAATTCCAAATTATTACTGGTTTTTTTATTAGTATCATTAAAATTTGCTTCTCAAAACGGCCAAATGGCTGGGTGTTATTTTTATAACCTCTCTTTGGACCAATGCAACCAAATGGCAAGAGATGGATAATGCTGTATTTACTAGCACTAGCTATACTAGTAGAATAATGTAATCATTTCCTTGTGTTCTGAAAGAACTTTGACCTATATGAACAAAAAGCACACACAAAAGAAATACATTGTCAGCCAAGTCTTCCATTTTCACTGTGAACAATAAAGCAAGCATTATGCCTGGCTATTAGTGGGTCTTCTATGGCAAGTAATATACATCTCTGATATCCAGTATAAAATGCCATATAACAGGGAGGATATGCCCAAAATTCTGATACTTTTAAAGTTATTCTGAAAATCTTTAGTTAGTTTGAAAAGGTGTATTACTGGAATACTACAGGAAGAGAAAACATGAAGCCATGCAAAATATAAACTTAGTATATGGTAGTATAATTTTCATGGCATTAAAACTGAATGAGCTTCGTGATCAATAATGGAGCTGTTCAATAATCAAACACACACAGACTAAATTTCACTACCTACTACTGGAAGTGGCTTTTTTTTGTGAAGTGGTAAGTTCCTCTCTCACATATCATTTCTTCCTTTTTCCTTTCCACCTTTGTTCGGAATCAACAATTAAATGATTTTCATTATTGTTTATCACCACAAGTGAGTTCTAAAACTGTCACAAGGAAATTATCCATGTGTAAGATTTCCATGCAGACAAAGGACAAACTGCAGCTTATAACACCAAGTATACAGAATAGGGAAGAGAAAAGAAGAAAAACAGTCAGGGATCATAAACAACTTAAGAACATTTAAGAATTACTCCTTTCTTTTTACACACCTTCTCTGTGCAGCCCTTTGTTTCCGCTGTAAACCATACTGGAATCGGGCGGAAAAAGTAGTTGCCTTCTGGCAGCAAAATGGGCTACACTGTCAGTATCTCGGGAATCCAGATGTCTGCAGTGGCTAACACAAAAATGTTCAGCTTTGGCTACATATTCAGCCTCTCTGTGCAAGACATTTTTTCCACAAAGAAGGCAGAGTAAGAGTGCACATAGCAACAGAACTCGCAGCTGATTGGACGGAAGGCGTGCTTCAACCCTTCACTGCTCACAAGGTCTACTACAGTTTCCTGTCTGTTTGGCAGTAGTATCATGTTTTCTTTTCTCCTCTTATGAACCCAGCTGTGTTTGGGCAATTTGAGAGCAAAGAAAAGCAGAACAACAAGAAGCAGGGCACACTAAATGTGGCACTGAGTGTTGCTATTATTACAGTTCAAATATAAAAAGATAAATGGCATTTTTAGCTCAACATACCCAAAATGTGTACATATGACAAACACAAGACCATTTGTTTTGAATAGTAGTTTTGCTCACAGTATGTTAATAGTTAAAAAGGGGGGAAAACAACACATACACTGTTGAGAAATGTCAATTGATACTGCTATTTCTATTTCTACTCTATTGGAAATTATTTCTACATGTATATAAAGTTAATAAAGTGTGTTAAAGGTTCTTCACATTCTAAACAGTCAGGATTTTTCCAGAGTCAAAGACTGAGGAACAGAAACATGCCCTCTCAGTGTACAGAAATTTAAGATTTTAAAATCACACAACTTCATTTACCATGAAGTCTGTAAAATTTAGAAAGTGTTTTCACACAACAGTTGCAGCTTTTAAAGCAGGCATCCCCAACCTGTGGCCCTCCAGATGTTTTGGCCTATAACTCCCATGATCCCTAGCTAACAGGACCAGTGGTCAGGGATGATGGGAATTGTAGTCCAAAACATCTGGAGGGCTGAAGATTGGGGGTGCCTGTTTTAAAGTCACAGTGCCAGATGGCCAGGATGAAGAACAAGCCTCTAAAATTTGGTTGCGGCTGAGAAAACATATCATCTTTGCTATAGTACCTGGAAGGCCTAGGGCTGGAGTAAGGAACCTGTGGCCCTCCAGATGTTATTGGATTTCTAACTCCTATAATCTCTGATCATTGGTCAAGCTGACTGGAGCCGGGGTTCAAAATTAGCAGATTCTCCATTTGTGAGCACCTCAAAAAGTCTGGGTGCCATTTTTTGCACCTGACACTCAAGGATTACTGAAATGTTTGTGCTTTGAAGTCTCAAAGTATATGTTGATAGACAATATGTTAAGAAGCTTAACAATAAAGAGTAGAGTATTTGAGAAACTGAAGTATGGCACCAATATTTTTATTGTAAACACCAAATTAAACATGTAATAACAATTTCTGCAAAAAAGTGATATTAACAATGTGTCAATTATGTGAATTGCATATTAATTCATGCTTATCAAAATAATAAATAAAAAGTGTTGCCAACTCTCACATACCCCGTGATGACTAGACATTCTGTTTTGGTGCCCACAACCCAGGTCCCAGAAGCCATTTGGCTCCTAGCTTCTCTACCCCAGTTTCTAACACTGGCTGGAGCAGATGACAGCTTTCCTTGTGGTACAAGGAAAGAAGGGCCTTTGTGAATCTTTTATGTCCAAGGCATCAGAAGATAACAACGGGGATGGGAGAATAATGCTAAATCACCTTCAAAAACCTCTATCTTGTTAGGATTCAGTTTCAATTTATTGGGCCCCATCCAGCCAACTACTGCACCTAGGTACTGATTCAGCACCTGCACATCCTCACCTAACTCAGTTTGTAGAGAGAGAGAGAGACCTGGGTGTTATCAGCATACTGATGGCAGTTCACAACCCATGTGCCATAAAGTTGAAGACGTGTCACTCAGTGCTACTCTCCGATAACAACCCCTTATGTAGAACCGCTGCAACACAGTGCCTCCAACTCCTATCCCAATGCATCGCCCCAGGAGGATATCATAGTCAATGCTATCGAACATGGCTGAGTGATCAAGGATAATCAATAGGGTCACACTCTCTTGTCTCTCTTCCAGTCAAGGTCACTCATCAGAATGACCAAGGCTGTTTCTGTCCCAACTCTGACCAGAACCCAAACTGTAATAGAGCTAAAAAAAAATTTGCTTCTTCCAATAATATCTGGAGTTGTACTGCCACAGCATCTCAAATACTTTCTCAAATAGCAACCAAGCAATAGTTGTTGCAACAGTGTGGCTGGTACACCAGCAACATCCTCACCTTGTCTCTTTGACACAAAACCAGGTATAGACCCTCAAACCCGGGCCCATGAAAGGCTTCATGATTACTGTACTCAGGTTGTCGAAGCTGGGTCAGATCAATGATCCAAGTCACCTAGAAAGTTTATGAACAACACCAGTCCTAGGACAGAAACCTGCAGCACCCCACATTACTTTTGACAGGGTAGTGAGGAACATTTGGTGGTCACTGTTTGGTCAGTTAACTAGTAACATTGTCTAGCCCGTACTTTACTAGCTTCTCCAGAAGAATATCATGGAGGACTTTGTCAAAATCTTTACTGAAATCAAGATACATTACATCTACAACATGCCCCTGATCCACCAATATCGTAACTCTATAAAATAAGTAAATAAATAATAGTCTGGCATAAATTGTTGAGAAACCCATGCTGGTTCTGAATAATCAAAGCATCCCTTTCCAAGTGTTCGCAGAACAACTGTTTAATTATCTGTTCTAGGACCTTTCTTGGTATCGGTATGCAGCTGACTGGTCGGTAAAGTAAAGGTAAAGGGACTCCTGACCATTAGGTCCAGTCAAGACTGACTCTGGGGTTGCGGCGCTCATCTCGCTTTATTGGCCGAGGGAGCCGGCGTATAGTCATGTGGCCAGCATGACTAAGCCGCTTCTGGCGAACCAGAGAAGCACAGAAACGCCATTTACCTTCCTGCCAGAGCGGTACCTATTTATCTACTTGCACTTTGACGTGCTTTTGAACTGCTAGGTTGGCAGGAGCAGGGACCGAGCAACGGGAGCTCACCCCGTCATGGGGATTCGAACCGTTGACCTTCCGATCGGCAAGTCCTAGGCTCTGTGGTTTAACCCACAGTGCCACCCACGTCCCGACTAGTCGGTAGGTCAATATAAAATAATGGCGAGTGATCTCTCATTCTAAAAAAAGCCAAAAATATGTTTTAGCAATAATTTTTAAAAATAGATTAAAGAAATAAAATTATAATATGGTACCTTAACAGACTGCAGTAGACTTTTGATAATGAGCTGCAAATCACCCCTGTATCATACCTGCTGATGTGAATATCACACTGCAGGATATACACATAGAAAAACTGCAATATAGTGGTACCTCGGGTTAAGTACTTAATTCGTTCCAGAGGTCTGGAAACCTGAAACTGTTCTTAACATGAAGCACCACTTTAGCTAATGGGGCCTCCCACTGCTGCCACCACGCCACCGGAGCACAATTTCTGTTCTCATCCTGAATCAAAGTTCTTAACCTGAAGCACTATTTCTGGGTTAGCGGAGTCTGTAACCTCAAGCGTCTGTAACCTGAAGCGTATGTAACCCAAGGTACCGCTGTACAGTCAAACCTCATGTTACATCCACTTCAGGTTACGTCTTTTCAAGTTGCGTCCTGTGGCAACCCAGAAGTACCTGAATGGTTTCACTGGGTTTCGCTGCCCGCACATGTGAAGAATCTCTCAATTGTGCTTCGTGCATGTGCAGAAGCGCTAAATTGCGCCGCATGCGCAGACGTGGCGCTTCTGGATGCAAACGTTTCAAGTTGCAGACATGCCTCTGGGATGGATTACGTCCGCAACTCGAGGTTCCACTGTACTGTCCTCCCAATAGCATGGAAAGTAGATTGCAATTCCACTTATAGCTTACAGCACTAGAAGCCACGTATCTGGAAGCATCCTGCTTGAAAAAGGACAAACTAAAACTGGTTAAACAGCCTCTTCCTTTAACATGTGAATCAATCTGTGTCAGAGCTAGGGACTAGGTGTTGCTGGACTACAGATCCCAACATCAACCATGTTTACTGGGGCTAATGGGGATTAGGAGTCAAACAAAAACTGGAGAGCCACATGCTCCCCAGATCTGGTCTACACAGTGGTCTGAAGAATATTTTAATTCCTAGGCATAAGAGTAAATTTGAAAGCATCTGGGTAACAGAAAATGAGTCACACACATTACACTGTCATGTGAATTATGAGTTTCTTGCCCATTACTGTTTGAAGTATCCGACTCATTACTATTCTAAACTAATTATTTCACCTTATTATTAATTTGTTTTTAATGTTAGCCTTCTTGTTTATTTTTATTTTTAATTTGTTTGGTGCTTCCCACAATCAAGAAAGTCTCAAAGTATAAACACTAGGTGAAGTCATGGTTGTTGTTTTTTCATACTATTCACTCTGAAAGTGACAGATCAATATCAAGTCCGATTGCTCCCAGAGGCACTTGTTGCATTTTCATTCAAAGTCCAGTGTGGCACAATAAAAAACTGATTTTCAGAACTGAAATATTAGAGTGGTTTCTGACTAGATCATGTTCAGAGCCAGCCCACTGAAAGACAGTGGACAACTTAAGTCCATTGGTTTTTCAATGGGTCTACTCTTGAGTATGGCTTATACCACTCATGCCTTTTTCTACCAACAAAGATGGTTCCATCCAAGGACTACAACCATGAATCCAGAATTGTGACAGGACTACTGCCATAGATCCAGCCAGGCCTCATATAAAGCCATAAAAATTAATCAACTACAAGGATGCACTGCTGAGTGGAAAGAGATAGGTCACAAACTTAAAAGCTTAAAATCTTAACTGAATAAATTACAGTTGCCATTTCCATTTTTACTTTCAGTACAAGATGAAAGCACATAATTACTACTTTATTATAGTTTGTACTTCACTTAAGATGTTGTCTCCAGTAAATGCTCAATTATATTTTAATCCACATCCTCCATTTTCCACCCAAGATTCTTCTTCATCATCAAGTTTTCACTTAATCTTTGATTACTAATAAAAGGTCAGTAGTACTAACAACTATGCAATTTTGTTTGGCAGCAACAGAGCAGGTGAAAATTAATTAGGAACCGAAACACCAGAAAGTCCTTCCTCTACACAGACAAAATCAGAGCAACTTGCAATTCTTTTGTGTCTGTACACTATACACTACAATGGCACATCTGTTTTTCCCATAATTAAGGCTAGATTCCCCACATCATTATCCAAACCACCATGCAATAAGATTGCCATCTGAGCCATCTTTTTCTAGGATTTCCTAATCCTCACATTTCTTATAAAGTAATCCAACAAACATCACAGATCTCTCCCTTATATTTACTTTTCAGGAGTACAATCCAATAGCAAGAAAAACTGCCAGAACAGCTTCCCTGCTAGAACAGGATACAGCATCACTACCACTTCATTGCCTCATCCCTGCATTTACCTGCGGCTTCTATAACTAGAAGCACAATTTAGGCAATCTTCAGAACAGCTGCCGCCACCCTACTAAACAGGAAGTAACATCACCTGGAGCACATATGCCTCTTGTTTATTATTCATCATCCTAAACTGAATTTTGCACCTCTTATCTGCAAAGATGAACACAATCCTATGCATGTTTACTTGGGAGGTAGTCCTGCAATCTTCAAAACAAGCTTACTCCCTGCTAAATCTAAGTAGAACTATCAAATATGCCTGTTGGCTATTTACAAAACTCTCAATCTACAATTACAGAGTTTCGGGTTGTATGTGATAAAAGTTGGAGATGATACATCAGTGGGCTGGAGTCGGAAAGTTTCAGTTGTCATAAGCAGTTTTACTTACAAATTAATGGGACGTATTTCCAAGGAAGGAGCTTTAAGGCTTCCCTGACACATGACAACAAAAAGCGAGTCTCCACATTTCCACAGTAGGTAAACCATCTATTTCCAGCAACATCTGAAGATGGGTGATAACACTGCCCAGGACTTGTTATAGATATGCATATCCACTTCTCCCCTTCAAATTACTAGATATAGTAAGTAAATTGGAACTAGTTTTTTGTGGAAAATATTGTTTTTAAGGTGTTTCTATAGTTTTTCAGGTGGACCTCACCACGCAGCTTAACAAAAATTACAACAACAAGCATCAATTTTTTAAAAAAATTATTCTACTTCTTCTCACTCCTCTCAGGGCAAAAGTGTCATTCAGACACCCCTCTGGCGACAGTTGGAGGAGGGAAGGGGCCCTATGGGAGATGAATGGTGACAAATCCCCAAGTTTCTTCCTTCTCCCCTCAGGGCAAAATGAATTAGGCTACAGTCTTATACCCTCATATCTGGAAGTAAGTCTCCATGAACTCAATGAGATTTCTGAGTAGAAATGTATATATATGACTGTGATGCTGTCAGCGGTACTTTAAAAAGTGGTTAAACTTTGAATGATTTAAAAGCAAAACAGCAATGTTGGCAGTTCCCCAAGCCTGGAGACTAAGATCTACTAAACTCAGTGATGCTTAAGGGATGCAATGGAACACGATTTACTGCATACCTTAAACTTATATAGTACAAGCAGTTGGGGGGGCAGAGCGCTCTCTCTGACCCCTCCCCCTATCTTATAAATATAAGATAACCTCATACATTTTGAATATGTTAACCGATGCCCTTTATTTCAGAGCCAAGTTTCTAAACCTCCATCAACCCATCTTTTCTGCTACCAAATCAATGAAAATGCTTCTCAGTGTCACTGACAGAGAATTAGTAATAAGTGCCCCCTTTCATCTGAATACAGGAAGTTATCAGATTCACTAGCACATTATTTAAAATCAAGAGTTTCATTCTATTTTTACTTCTAAATGCATGTTTTTCTACCCAAAATCCTAGATCGGACAATCACTTTGAACTTAAGTTCAGCTATTACTACAACTACTAATGAAAAAGACAAAACTGCTACTGATTAACCAAGAATATCATCTGGAGAAACAAACAAAACATTTCTCCTTTATAGTCAAGTGCAGCACAATTTTCCTCCTATCTGTCCAGTATTAAACAGACTGTACTGCAGCTTAGTTAAATGCTCTGCTCATCCTGTGTCCTTCACTATTAATTTGCAACTAATGGAAGCAGGTGATTTCATGCTTCCCTGTGGTGCAGCTGCTGTTGAGTGGGGGGGGGGAATCACATGTAAACATTTGCATGATTATGCCTTCATAACTGCATTGGTAGGATGAATATGGCATTTAGGCCACAGTTTAACCCTTTGTAGATGGTTCACAAAGAGTAACAATTTGTGGACAGTTAAAACTATGTGCATTGGAATTATAGTTCTTATTTGCTTTCAAAACTGCAACTGGCACTTAAAGTTCCAACTTCACCTTGCTGTTGCGAAAAGTAAGGCAATTTAAAGCACATTTTGCTACTGTTACGCGGCCTGATGTGTCTCAGAGACATTATAATTTCAATATATCAAAAGTTGTTTTCTGCAAGAAGTCTTCATTCACCTTTATTTCAACTGCATTACACTGGCTGACTACTCTACAGCTATCTCACCATAAATCACCACTGTCTCATATCAGATCTATTGTGCCAAAGCTTTCATAGTGTGAAAGGAGTTACAAATACTGAACTTCTGCTTTATCTCAGTATATTTAGTAATTCCTGCTTTCCCTTTGAGTATTTAGGCTGCAAACCTAAGAGCACTTATTGGGAAGTAAGTACCATTGAATAGTCAGCTTTACTTCAGAGTAAACATGTTTAGAATCATATTGCACACGACACAACTGAAGTCAAATAAGGATTCTGCAAGTAGTTGTCAATACACAATGCTCCTTTGTTTGACCGTATCCCACCAGTTTCTTTTCTTTCAAGATCAAGCAGTTTTAAAACAGCCATGACACATGTACTTCTGTACATTCACTTATTTAATATATTAATCAGAAAATAACATACTTTTTGTAACAAAAAAGCATACTCAATAAGCAAGCATCTCAAAAAACAAAGCACTTCCCAGGTAAGTGCCTATAGGATCACAGCCTTGATACTTTTACACATCCTCAGCCACTTTAATATATAATCTTACATGCCTGAAATGATTCATATAGTAACTGACTGTGTATTTAAAGTTATGGAAGTACAATACAGTATAGCAAAGATATTACTCCCGAGTGCTCATTGCTCCAATGTGAGATATGAAATTTAACCTGCAATCCTGCAGATGCTTGAGACATTGGTAGTACTTACTTCTGAGTATACATGCATAGGATTGCACTGTTCACTAAAAATAATGTTCAGGCTAGTTACAACAGTGAAATACATTATTGCAAGCAATAACTAATGATGAATACACAGTTAACATTAGAAGTCAGGACTTGCTTAACTCTAGTGGCGTGAACCATTTTTGCAATAGCTACACAAGTTCTGAATCAGTAGAACGATGCTATCTGACCCACTGAATTTAACTACTAGCCACAAACACAATTAAAGGAACTAGAGCAGATTCTACTAGAAGTGGTCAGGAGAATATAAATAGAATGAAAGTTTTAGCTGCTTTGCATGAGTTTCAATGCTGTCCTAACCTGTGTTTATATCATCCATTTATACAGAGATTGAGTTGCTAACAAAATTCCTGATAGCAATCTCTGACAGATTTTTTTTTCATGTTGCAATTGTATGATAATAGCCTAAGCCTAAGCACAACACTGTTCTGACATTTAAAATGATCCTCCCAGGGCAAAGGGTATTTTTCACAATGAGTTTCTGTCTTCCAGTTCTTGATTGATGAAGTAAACCCAGCTCTTTATTGACAAAGTCAATCCAATAAATTTTCACAACCTCCTTAAAAAAATAACACTACAGAGACTAACAATAATTATCAATTTCAGGCATTAATCCTTCCAAAACCCTCACTCTTTCCCCCTCCCCAAATGGACCCAGTACCCACCTCATCACAATATTATCACCACCCATTAAAAAAAACCATTTATCCAGGATAAAAATGTTAAGCATAGGATTTTTTATTGAATCATTTACCTCGGTCAGGCTTCATTTTCAGTCCAAATCTTTCTTCTTCTTCTTCTTCAAGGAAAAGGGGGGCGGAAGGGCTTATCAGGGCTATTTTCTCTCCCTCTTCTTTGTAGTCTCACTAATGCTGTCTGCAGCTAATTTCTCTCTCTCTCTCTCTTTTTGCTATTGTTACAGGAATAATACAATAAAAATCCCCCCCCCCTTTATCCTTAACAGCTCACAAAAATCTGTAGCAGCTAGGCCTCCTCCTGGCATTTATTGTGGTGGCAGCAGAAGTCTGCTGGGAGGGGGGGGAAGCTAGACCCGGCCAATGCCTGCCTTCTTCCCTCCCTCCTTCTCTCTCTCTGGATCTTGCCAGTGTGTCCTTCTTTAACACGGCGTCTGAACAGGTCTATTTATAACCTGCCTGGGCCAAAGCTCAGACAACAAAAAGTTAAAACTTCCCCTCCGACGCGTATGCAACACACTCGCCCGAATCAAAAGGCTCTGAATCACAGAGCTCCAGGGCAGGGTCAACCCAGGCTGGAGTCCATTGCGTTTTACCTGTTCTACGGAGCCAGGCAGGAAGGAGGAGGAGGAGGGAGAGGGAGAGAGGGCAGAACTCCCGACCTCCTTCCCCCAAATTCCCTGCTCGCGCGCCGAGACTAAATAAAAACAGTCTGACAACAGCCGCCGACGCTCATTGTCATAAAAGGAGGGAGGGCTTTAAAAAAAAAAGAGGAGGAGGAGACGACGGGGAAGCCGCGCAGCGCAATGGTCCACTTTGTTCCTTAAGTCCTCGGAAACGCGCAACAAAAAGCCTCGCGCCGTTCGTGGTAAATAAAACAGCACCTGGATTGAGCTCGGCGGAAGGAAAAAACAACCACCACCTTCCTCCTCCTTGGCTCGGCTCGACCCTCACCTTACACAACCCAGCCGAGAGGGGACTAGAGGGGGAGGGAGGAGAGAAGAGGAGGGATGGAAGGCGACTTCTTCCTCACCGCCCCATCGCTCAAGTCCCGTGTCAACGGCAACCGCCAGCCCCTTTCGGCGCTCCGGGCCCTCCTAGACACCCGCGGAGATCCCGAGGCGCCCGAATGTGCCCGACGCGCGCGGCGGCCAATAAAAGGCTCCCGGCTGCTGCTGCTGCTGTCCTCCTCCTCCCACTCGGCCCCTCACCTGCCCCGCATGAGCCGGGCTCGCAGTCCCGCTCTCGCGCGCACCTCAGCGGGTCAAGGCAGGCTGTCGCAGCAGCAGCCGCCGCCGCATCGCTCCCGCTCTCTCTCTCTCCTCCCCACAACCCGCGGCGACTCCGGAGAGGGAGGCGAGCGGACACCCGCCGCTGCTGCTGGGCCTCCTCAAGCCCTCACGCAAACAACGCGGCGGCGGCGGCGACGCCACCCGGACCTGCCCGCCTCAGTCCAGTCTCGACGCGCAGGCTCTCCCTCCCCGCCAGCCGGGCTGTTGTTGCTCTCGCGGCGGCTGCCGAGGGTTTTCCATGACTCCGCCGTGCCCTCCTCCGCTGACTAACTCTCCTCCTCCTCCTCCTCCTCCTGACACTTCTCTGCCTCCCAGCCAAGCGGGCCGCCGCCGCCGCCGCCACACGCTCCCCAGTCACGGGCTGCGGCGGCGTCGTGCGAAGCGGGCAAGGGAGGAAGAGTTGGGCAGACAGACCCGCTGGCGTGGAAGCTTAACGCGCGAGGCAGAAGCGGGGTGCGGGGAGAGTCGCGAGGGTCTCTGCCCCGCCTCCCATGCCCCGCGCAGCTCTAGGACTCTCCGGGAAGCCTGCCTCAGCCGCCCCTCTCCTCGCCTTCCCAGGCGGGCATCCCTCCCTCCCTCCGTCCGCTCCCCTCCTTCCTCGCCGTCGCTATCTGCTTTATTTTGCCTTGTCAAAAAAAAACAAACCACCACCACACAAAAAAAACACGGCCGACGTCACGTGGCCCGCCCGTGGCCAATCCATTTGCAAGCTGCTCTTGCCTTCCACTTGTTTCTAAGCCTGGCGAGGAACTGCGTTGTTATGGCAACCGAAGCCCAAGTAAAAGTTGGGCCTGTTGAGTAGTGAGAGACCAAAACAGGCCCTGTATGTTTTTCTTATTTATACAAGCGCACGCACGCACGGCCTTATTCCCAGGATCATAGGAGAAAAAAACTAAATGCCGATGACGGCTTTTCCTTTCCCACTTTTGTGGGTTTTCGCCTGAAGCTGAACAGAAGTTGGGAAAGTTCTAATGCAAACAGTGTTTGCCGGTGCAAAGTTCCTCAGTCTGAGCTCTTAACTTGGGACAGAAGTCATTGTTCTTTAACTTCCTTACTCCTACGTGCAAAAATCATCCAGACTTCCCATGCCCTCTTCAGTGTCAGGCTTCATTGGGAAATCTTCACGTGAAATAAAGTCCTCATTTTACATGCAATCATCTCTTCTCATTCTAGTTCTAAAACCCAAACCTTGGGGGTGCAATTGCACTCTTTTGCTGTACTGCTTATACAGAAGTAAACCTACTGTGCAAATTCTAGAACGTTGTCACTTGCATAATAGTGAACAATGTCCTCAAATTTCAGCTGCTTAGCATTCAGTTTTCTTTCTGTTTATAAAAAGGGTACTGAAAAGGCATGGAGCAAATAAAAGCCAGAAAGTCCATTGATTGTTTTCCATAGAGGTGTCATTGAGTTCCTGCCCGAAAATAACAAAAACTGATGCAAATGTAGGTGATCAGTTTTCTTTTTTGAAAAGCAAAAAAGGACCTGGGCCAAAAAAAACACCCAAAGAAAACATTGTCACTGTGGTGATTTCCCCACCAGTTAGTATTAACATATTGGGGGGTTTTTAATCTCCTGTGGTATTTTTCAAACAAAAACTGATAGCAGTCTGAATTGCCTTTCTGCTTTGGGACATTTTACATCTCCAAGATGCACTGGAATTTAACCTGGAGTAGAAAAATGTCTCAGTTTTTAAAATAATGTTTTGTAGGGTAGGTTGGGGTTAATTGCATTTGACATCCTCTGAATAATAGTTTTGTGTTTGGTAGCTCTGGAACACTTTACAGAGTAAAATGAAATGGCATAGACAGCCTGATTCTATGCATCTGAAGAAGGTATCTGAAGAAGTGTGCATGCACACGAAAGCTCATACTGTACAAAGAATGAACAGTTGGCCTCTAAGGTACTACTGGACTTTTTTATATATTTCTGATTCTATGCATGTTTATGCAGAGGTAAGTCTCACTGACAATTCAATCTTATGCAGCATTTAGCACACATAAACCTATTAAAATAAATTAATTCAAGTTCACCCAACTCTGCATAGGATCTAAAGGAATTAACTGTGCATATATAAATTAAAAACACCTTTCTACATGGCAACATGATTTCCCCATTGATGCTATCGAATCAACAGTACTGCTCAACATCACACAGCAAAAAATTAAAAATCTTGTGTGCCTATAGTTCCAGAAGTGTAGCACTATTAACTAGACAAAATGTAAATAATATATACATAAACTGCAATCCTAACCACTGTTCCCTAGGAGTAAGACTCATTTTTTTCAATAGGTCTTTCTTATGAGTAGACATTGTTAGGATTGCCCTGATAAATATCTGATTCAAAAATCCAAATTAGGATATTAGGCATCACATGTATTTTTTGTGGAGGTGGTTGGGTGGGATGAAACATACTTGGAGTGTAGGAGCTGCAGTTGTACACTTGGAAACAATTGTATTTCAAAGGGAGATAAGGAGAAGGGTTGGGCTTTATCTCCTGTGGGACTTTTCTTCAAAATGTGGTAAACAATGTACCTGACTATCTAAGCCCCCTTCCCCCCATTAACTCCAATCCAATCTAAAACTACCCAGCTGCATCACTGCCCTCAGGGAATGCACAAATTGCTCTCTCCCTCTCCAAAACTGCCAGCTGCCCTTTGGTGTGCATATGAGAATCTGCCCCCTTCCCTCAGCTTACTTTCTCCAAAGTTTAATAGGTATTTCACTGCAAAAAAAAAAGAGCTTTCCAAGTATAAAGAGACAGACTACTAACCACTAGCTCCCATTAATGAAACATCCACTGAGGATCATCCTGGGCTATTTACACAGATTGAAGCAGCCCTATTCATCAGTGTACAGTATTGTGTTTCACTTCGCCTATTTGCTCCTCATATGCTGTAGCAATTTTGAAATACTGTTACAGGGTTGGAGGATTACTTTTGATGATGGCTATGAGGCCCCTCCAACCCTGTGGTTTGTTATCTTTAAGATGGGAGTTTGCAATAGAAAGGACCTCTGATTTAATCAAACCAGGCTCTTTGTTAAGGTAATGATGCTCTTCCAGGAGGGCGTAGGCCTCCATCCCTCACCTGACTGGGTGCCAGTCATCTTAGGGGTAGTAGAACAATAGGCCAAGAACTACCCATAGTCTGGGCTGGACCTGGGAAAACACAGAAGTTTGACTTGCTCGCCTTGCTAAATACAAAGCTATGACTTGGGGGACCCCACTAGAAACCTAACAGGGAAATGGCGTCTCTTAGAGTGTTGATCTTTTGAGTCCTAGAATCATAGAATCATAGAATCATAGAGTTGGAAGAGACCACAAGGGCCATCGAGTCCAACCCCCTGCCAAGCAGGAAACACCATCAGAGCACTCCTGACATATGGTTGTCAAGCCTCTGCTTAAAGACCTCCAAAGAAGGAGACTCCACCACACTCCTTGGCAGCAAATTCCACTGTCGAACAGCTCTTACTGTCAGGAAGTTCTTCCTAATGTTTAGGTGGAATCTTCTTTCTTGTAGTTTGGATCCATTGCTCCGTGTCCGCTTCTCTGGAGCAGCAGAAAACAACCTTTCTCCCTCCTCTATGTGACATCCTTTTATATATTTGAACATGGCTATCATATCACCCCTTAACCTCCTCTTCTCCAGGCTAAACATGCCCAGCTCTCTTAGCCGTTCCTCATAAGGCATCGTTTCCAGGCCTTTGACCATTTTGGTTGCCCTCCTCTGGACACGTTCCAGTTTGTCAGTGTCCTTCTTGAACTGTGGTGCCCAGAACTGGACACAGTACTCCAGGTGAGGTCTGACCAGAGCAGAATACAGTGGCACTATTACTTCCCTTGATCTAGATGCTATACTCCTATTGATGCAGCCCAGAATTGCATTGGCTTTTTAGCTGCCGCGTCACACTGTTGGCTCATGTCAAGTTTGTGGTCAACCAAGACTCCTAGATCCTTTTCACATGTACTGCTCTCAAGCCAGGTGTCACCCATCTTGTATTTGTGCCTCTCATTCTTTTTGCCCAAGTGCAATACTTTACATTTCTCCCTGTTAAAATTCATCTTGTTTCTTTTGGCCCAGTTCTCTAATCTGTCAAGGTCATTTTGAAGTGTGATCCTGTCCTCTGGGGTGTTAGCCACCCCTCCCAGTTTGGTGTCATCTGCAAATTTGATCAGGATGCCCTTGAGTCCATCATCCAAGTCGTTGATAAAGATGTTGAATAAGACCGGGCCCAAGACAGAACCCTGTGGCACCCCACTAGTCACTCTTCTCCAGGATGAAGAGGAACCATTGATGAGCACCCTTTGGGTTCGGTCAGTCAGCCAGTTACAAATCCACTGAGTGGTAGCATAGTCAAGACCACATTTTACCAGCTTCTTTACAAGGATATCATGAGGCACCTTGTCAAATGCCTTGCTGAAATCAAGGTAGGCTACATCCACTGCGTTCCCTTCATCTACCAGGCTTGTAATTCTGTCAAAAAACGAGATCAGGTTAGTCTGACATGACTTATTTTTCAGAAATCCATGCTGACTATTGGTGATCACAGCATTCCTTTCTAGGTGCTCACAGACTGTTTGCTTAATGATCTGCTCCAGAATCTTCCCTGGTATTGATGTCAGACTGACTGGGCGGTAATTATTTGGGTCCTTTCTTTTCCCCTTTTTGAAAATAGGGACAACATTTGCCCTCCTCCAGTCTGCCGGGACTTCGCCTGTTCTCCAGGAATTCTCAAAGATGACTGCCAGTGGTTCTGAGATCACATCTGCCAGTTCTTTTAATACTCTTGGATGCAGTTCATCTGGCCCTGGAGACTTGAATACATCTAAACTAGCCAAGTATTCTTGTACTATCTCCTTAGTTATTCTGGGCTGTGTTTCCTTTGCTGAATCATTTGCTCCAAATTCTTCAGGTCGGGCATTGTTTTCTTTATCGGAGAAGACTGAGGCAAAGAAGGCATTGAGGAGTTCAGCCCTTTCTGTGTCCCCTGTTTGCATTTCACCATCTTCTCCTCTGAGTGACCCCACTGTTTCTTTGTTCTTCCTTTTGCTACGGACATACCCATAAAAGCCTTTTTTGTTGCTTTTAACCTCTCTAGCAAGCCTGAGTTCATTCTGTGCTTTAGCTTTTCTGACTTTGTGTCTACACGTGCTGGCTATTTGTTTGAATTCCTCTTTGGTGGTTTCCCCCCTTTCCATTTTTGTACACATCCTTTTTAAATCTTAACTCAGTTAAAAGTTCTTTAGATAGCCACCCTGGCTTCTTTAGGCACCTTCCATGTTTCCGTCTCATTGGTATTGCCTGACGTTGTGCTTTTACTATCTCCCTCTTAACAAACTCCCAGCCATCATGAACTCCCTTTCCTTTTAGTATTACTGTCCATGGGATCTCACCCAGCACTTCCCTAAGTTTTATGAAGTCAGCTTTCTTCAAGTCAAGAAATTGAGTCCTAGTATGCTTTGCTGCTCCTTTCCGCTGTATAGTAAACTTCAGAAGAGCATGATCACTCGCGCCTAATGATCCTTCCACTTCTACCCCACTAACCAGGTCATCAACATTGGTTAGGACCAGATCTAAAATGGCTGTTCCTCTTGTTGCTTCTCCCACTTTCTGGACAATGAAGTTGTCTGCAAGGCCAGTGAGGAATCTGTTTGACCTTATGCTCTTGGCTGAGTTTGACATCCAACAAATATCTGGGTAATTGAAGTCCCCCATTACTACTATCTCCCTTCCTTTTGCATGCTTGGCCATCTGTTCCAGGAAGGCATCATCTATGTCCTCCGTTTGGCTTGGGGATCTATAGTAAACTCCCACAATGAGGTCACTCTTATTCTTCTCTCCCTTAATTTTGACCCAAATGCTCTCACTTTGGCTTTGAGGTTCTAAATCTTGGATCTCTTCACAGGTATACACATCCCTGACATATAACGCCACTCCTCCTCCTTTCTTGTCTGGTCTGTTTCTCTGAAATAGATTGTATCCCCCCCATTATTACATTCCAATCGTGGGACTTATCCCACCAGGTTTCAGTGATGCCTATTATGTCATATTTAGTTTGCTGTACCAAGAGCTCAAGCTCATCTTGTTTATTTCCCATGCTTTGTGCATTAGTGTACAGACATTGAAGTCCATTAATCATTCCCCGTGTCTCT